GGGCACGTCCCCGCCCGAGGACCCCCCCCCCCCCCTTGTCCCGGCACCAGCCTACACCATTGCCTTGCAGCCCCACACCTGTGGTGCCTGGCAAAGACGTTGTCCAGGCCCTCCGCGTTGAGCAGGCCCAGGGACGCCTTCAGCCCGTGCAGCAGGGGGAGGATGGGAGTGTAGGGCACCCCCCCGTTCTTGTTGGTCTTCAGCATGTCGTCGAAGCTGAAGTACACGCGCTTCAGCTTGGCACTCGAGCGGGCATCCAGGGCCTACGGGTGCATGGATGGAAGGGGGGGGGGGGTGGGGGGGTTGCATGCTCTCCACATTGCGACGCATGCATGGGCTCATGGGCAGCGCCGGGGTGCACATCATGTCCCATCCACCGGCTCCAATGCGATGCTGGACTCTTTCGCAGACGACTGGCGAGGCACAGCCACCCTACCCTCAGGCAGCCAGGACCACACCGTGACAAGCTGGTCCCACTGTGTCCGACACCACACCAGCCACTGTGCACCTTGTCCGAGGCGGCAACGATGCCCAGGCCCGTGGGCAGGGACAGCGCCTTCTGGCTCCCCGTCACCGCCACGTCCACCCTCCAGTCGTCAAACTTGAAGGGCAGGGCGCCCACGGAGGAGACGCCGTCCACCATGAGGAGGGCGGGGTGCGAGGCAGCGTCCAGCGTCTCCCTGATCCGGCCGATGTCGCTGGTCACGCCCGTGGCCGTCTCGTTGTGCACCACGCACACAGCCTTGATGCCCTTGGACGTATCCTTCTCCAACAGGTCCGCCAGCCTGTTTTGTGGAGGCGGGGAGTGTGCGGGGGGCTACGCTCAGCTGGGGGGTGCGGGTGCTGCCAGAGGACCCAGGCCACGAACTGGGTCATGAAAGGGTGGCAGCCGGGTGCCGAGGGCAACCACAGGCCCGCTGAACACAGACAGCAAGACGAGCCAGCAGGCCATGCATCTGTGCCGTCGGGGGTGAGGAGGTCCCAAACGCGCCCACCAAACTGCAACACCTCGGGCCGAAACCCTCGGGGCCCCGTCGCCGCTCACTTGTCCTCGTAAGCGCCGTCGCCCCAACGCCCCTCGACCACCTCCACCTCCAGCCCCAGCCGCTGCATCATGTCGATCCAGAGGTGGCTGAACATGCCGTACCGGAAGGTCACCACCCGGTCGCCGGGAGAGAGGGTGTTGGACAGGGCCGCCTCCCAGCCCCCTGTCCCAGTGCCGGGGAAGATGAAGGGCGTGGCCGCAGTCGTGCCAAACACCGGCTTCACCGAGGCCAGCAGCTCCCTGAATGGTGAGGGGGGGGTTGAGGAGGAAGGCGTGAATGTGGAAGTTGATTGCAGGGTTTCAAGCAGAGAGCATAGGTGAGTTTGCCGCAGCGGTGTCGATGTTCACTGCAATGGCCCCGGCTCCATGACCAAGTGTCAGAGGAAGGCTCTGGGGTGCATTGCCAGGAAGAAATCGGCACCAGACCCTGAGCAGATGCGCATCTCAGTTCATGCCCACCCACCCCTACTCTTCCCCTTGAGTTGCTCTCACTTGAAGAAGGGGGCGAACCAAGCGTCCCTATGATTTTGGCTTTGCACAGACATGGCGCGGAGGACATCGTCATGGATGTTAACTGGGCCTGTGGAGCCAGGGGGTTATTTGAGGTGGGAGGTTCACTGATCCGGTCGTCAATCCCTGGCCGACGAAAGATAAAATACGGTGAGTGGATTGCCAACACATGAAACTTCCCAAAGAAGACTCGCCTGGCACGAAGAGATGGTTGCGCCCGGCGGGGGTGAACGAAAAGTCCTCGCCCGATGAGGTGGCGAACCCACGTTTCTGCGGGGGCGAGGGCATGGAGGTGCACGGAATGGGGTGCGGAACATGGTGTCGTGAAAGCAGGACATCTTTCGCCTCGATCGACTCTCAATAGCCTCGTGTGCTCACCCCATCCCGCTGGAGAAGAGGGATCGACAGGGCGGAGAGGTGTGATCGAGACCGATGCCCCGTGGCCCGGATGAGGTTCTGCATCTGGGTTAAGGGCTCAGGAGCAGCACCCTGTCAAGCTCGCGGTTCGGGGAGATTGAGGAGGAAACCTTGGGAATGTGGGAGTGGTGGACACGCCCGAAAACGCTGAGCCACCTCATCCGGCACTGCCGATGACCCCCATCCCCTGCCTCGGCATCTGCTGCTGCGCATGCTTACTCGGATTTCCCATGTCCTTCTCACCACCACATGCCACATGCCGGCATCCTGTGCCCATGCTGAGGCAAGTGACGCTCCAGCGGTTTGTTGGAAAATAAATTCATTACACCAATCCTGGTCTCATGAGAAGTAAAGTTACGTCCCTCCTCCGGTCGAGGACCCGAGCCTGGGCCTGGCACTGCCAGGACCGAGCCCTGCCCTTCGCGAGGGATGGCGTCGCCTCTGTGGGGTGCCTGGCCATGGCTGGCCTGCCAGCAGTGAAGGGTACTCATGCCTACCACTCGGCCCCATCGACTGGCGCAGCAGCCCAGGCCGAGCGAGTGGCGGAGCCCTCGGTACCCCTGACGAGGACGGACGCCTACGGCGCCATCTCTGTCGTGGAGGAGGAGAACGTCGACTTCGTTCCCACCAAGTATGAGAACATCGACGGACGGCGCATCGACGACGGGCGGTACACCGCCTTCGCAGATGAGATCAGCGGTGAGGCCTCTGATTGCGGAAGTTGCGATGCCTGATCTGGCTTGGCCGATAGGGGCCACCAGGGGCCTTGGGAGCTGCCTGTGCACAGGACTTCTCCACCTCATCTTCACTCTCATGCCCCCGTGCAGCCTTCATCCCCAAGTCCCGCCAGTACACCGACCCCGTGAGGACTTTTGCCTACGGGACGGATGCCAGTTTCTACCGCCTAAACCCCAAGATGGTCATCAAGGTAAGTAGGCCAATTGGGATGCCTGCTCTAGGGAGCGGGGCAGACCGCCACGCTGGCTCTCTGCGTCGTTTGCCTTGATGCATGGCATGTCATTCATCGTGCTGTGAAGGCCATTCTTTGGCCGATCCAGATTATGACACTTGCGTGGGTGTGTCGTCCAGGTGCATTCTGAGGAGGAGATACGGCGCCTGCTGCCCGTCGCCAAGAAGCACGGCGTTCCGGTGACCTTCAGAGCGGCGGGGACCTCTCTTTCCGGCCAGGCGCTGACTGACAGCGTGCTGCTGAAGATCAGCCACGTGGGCAAGAACTTTCGGAGCTTCAAAGTGCACGTGAGGCTTCGGAGGGTGGCGTGGGGGAGGGAGTGGGGATGACTCCCTGGCTGCACAGTGCTGGTCTGGGAGAGTTGAGAAAGGACTTCAAGGTGGCCCCATTGCAAACAGTGCGACTCCTGTTCTTTGGACCATGGCAGCCACAGCGAGGGGCGGTGCCCATGCATGGCCCCATACCCTTCTTGACGTCCATTCAACAGGATGCTGGTGGTGTCTCAGCTCTCATCACCCCCACTTGACCCTCCATTCATACATCGCCTCATGCACAGGGGGATGGCTCCTCCATCACGCTCCAGCCGGGGCTGATCGGGGGTGAGGTGAACCGCATCCTGGCCGCCTACAAGCAGAAGGGGGGCCATCCCATCCAATACAAGATCGGCCCCGACCCCTCCTCCATCGACAGCTGCATGATCGGCGGCATCCTGAACAACAACTCCTCCGGTATGTGCTGTGGCGTGTCCCAGAACACGTACAACACGCTCAAGGACATCCGTCTGGTGCTGGCCGACGGTACCGTGCTGGACACCGGGGACGAAGCCAGCCGCGCTGCGTTCCTCGAGGTGGGAACCTTCGGTGACATTGGAGTGCAGGGAGGTCATCAAGTATCTGGAAGGCCGCAGGGCTGGGACTCTGTGTGCCTCTGTATCAGGACAACAGGTTTGCTGATGGCATCAGGGAGGGCCAAGGGGAGGATGGATGGGCTGTTTGCATGGCCGAGCACCTTGAGGAGCCTGGGGCTGAGATTGCCTCTCCACATCCACACTTGCCCAGTCGCACGCCGACCTGGTCAAGGGGCTCCAGGCGCTGGTGAAGAGGGTGCAGTCTGATCGCCTGCTGGTCAGCCTCATCCGCCGCAAGTTTGCGATCAAGTGCACTACTGGCTACTCTTTGAATGCCCTGGTGAGAGACATTGGTGGGTGGTGCTTTCGTGTGCCATGGGAGCATGGCCAGGGTGGACGTACTGCCGCTTGTTGGGAGAGCGGAGGACAGTCAAAGTAGCGCTGATCACAGTACCCCAATGCTGGTTAGGATTGCAAAGAGGGTTTGAAAGGGTAGTATGGCTTCTGGCTCTCCATGCCATGCCCAGGCCAGTGCTTACCATGTCCCTGCCAAACGCTTGCCATACCCCCTCCCTCTGACTGTCAGGTTGACTTCCCTGTGGACGACCCCATCGAGATCATCAAGCGCCTCATGGTCGGCAGTGAGGGCACCCTGAGCTTTGTCTCCCAGGCCACCTACAATACCGTCCCCGAGTGGCCCTTCAAGGCGCGCTGCTGTTCGCTGCTTCCAGCGGCCTCTGATCTGGGATGGGCTGATCCATTGCTGCGGGGACACACCCCTGCTGTTGCTGGCCGGAACACGCTTTTTGACAGTGTCACAGAGCTTCCCTGTGTGTTTCGCTCCTCCTCTGGCATCCCTCTTGCGGGCTTTCTGACGGCATTGGTGCCATTGCGACTGCATGTCATCGTTCTTGGGGGTTGCAGGTCGAACTCCCTCCCCCTCTCATGCCCCGGCCCCCCACACACTCACACCCCCTCCCCCCCATCCACCCGCCCCCGCCAGGCCAGCGCCTTCCTCATGTTCCCCACCATCGAGGCAGCATGCGTGGCGGCGGCGGTCCTGCGCCGCGAGACGGCGGTGGACGCGGTGGAGCTCTTCGACCGCCCCTCCATCCGCGAGTTCGAGTGCAACGAGGCGGTGGCCAAGCTGACGCCCGACATCCTGGGCGCCGATGGTGGCGCCGCCGCGCTGCTGGTGGAGTGCCGGGGGCAGACGCACGACGCGCTGCACGCCCGCATCCGCGAGATCCAGTGTGCGCTGAAGCGCGCGGAGCTGCCCTTTGGCGCCAAGGCCGACGCGCCCATGCAGGTCACCGACTACGAGTTCTGGGAGGACCCGGCCAAGTACAACGTCTACTGGGATGTGCGCAAGGGGCTCATCCCCATCGTGGGCGGCGCAAGAGAGCCGGGCACCACCATGCTGCTGGAGGACGTGGCCTGCCCTGTGGACAACCTGGCGGCCATGACGCGCGACCTGATAGACATGTTCCAGCGCTGGGGCTACGACGACGCCTACACCTTTGGGCACGCGCTGGAGGGCAACCTGCACCTCGTCTTTTCGCAGGTGGGTGATCGGGTGTGTGTGGGGGTGGGGTGGGGTGGGGGGCGGGGGCGGGGGATTGGATCTCCGTCCGTTGATTGATGTCCGACCCGACCCGACCCGACCCAACCTGATCCCAACCTGACCCAACCCGTCCTGCCTGTTGCGCAGGGTTTCCGCACGCCCGAGGAGGTCCAGCGCTTCTCGGACCTGATGGACGAGATGTGCGACATCGTGGCCAACAAGCACAGCGGCAGCCTGAAGGGGGAGCATGGCACCGGGCGCAACATGGCGCCCTACGTGGAGATGGAGTGGGGTGAGCCAGAAAAAAAGGGGTGGGAGGGGGGGGGAAGGGTTTGACATTGAGAGTGAGCCTAGCATCCGCTTTTAAGATGTCGGGAGTTTTAAGTACAGGGGATGGGGATTGTAGAATGCATCGAGGACACAGCAATGCAAATGAGGTTCAGATGGCAGAGCGTTCTTTGCTATTCGTGTTCTCCCTTTCCAAGGAATAGAAAGAGTCACCTGGCTCCTCAACGTCCACGCCGTGCAGGCACCAAGGCCACGGAGCTCATGTGGGAGCTGAAGGCCCTGTTTGATCCCGACAACATCCTGAACCCAGGCGTCATCCTGAACAAGGTGAGCATTGTTGGTGGGAAGGGGCTCAGGGGAAGCATGAGCTAGCTGGTTTTAGTCCCATGCCAATGTCAGGAGGGCAGTTGAATGCAGCACCTGGCACAGACTGCCGCCCCAGAGGATCGAGATGACTATTGCAAACTCACGGGAATTGCTTCCCGTGCATTTGAAGTGTTGCATGCCTGCCTGACGAGGAAGGGCCATTGTGCCATACTTGCCCTCCTCACACACTTCTGCCCCCCCCCCCCCCCCCCCCCCCCCCCCCCCCACCCTCATTCCCTCTCTGGTCCCCCCGCATCAACCACAGGACCCTCACATCCACCTGAAGAACCTGAAGCCCTCCCCGCCGGTGAACCCTCTGGTCAATCACTGCATCGAGTGCGGCTTCTGCGAGTCCAACTGCCCCAGCCGCGACCTGACGCTGACGCCCCGCCAGCGCATTGCTGTCTGGAAGGAGATCTTCAGGCTGGAGAACCTGGAGCTGCTGACCGACGAGCAGACGCACCGGTGAGGATGAGGATGAGAGGAAGGTTATTGTTGGACTTGCAGACCCAGGAGGGTCGGAGATTTGCTGTGACTCCTTGAAAGCAGCGACACAGAATGTTCCTCTGCCCAGAAACCCACCAAGTACAACATCCTTCTCTTCATCCGCCTCCAGTCTGAAGGAGATGAAGACCATCTACGAGTACGACGGCAAGGACACCTGCGCCGCCGACGGCATGTGCAAGGAGAAGTGCCCCGTGAAGATCAACACCGGGGCGCTGATCAAGGAGATCCGGGCGCACGAGATGCAGGATGAGCACCCGCGCTACGATGCCGTTGCTGGGGTGAGGCGGGGATGCAGGCGCAGGAGGGGGGATGCTGAGGCCCAGTACCGGAGTGGTGGATCCTCTGAATAGACCCTTTCCTTGATGTTTTCCGCCATCGCTGACTCGCCCCCCCTTCACTCCCCCTCATCAGGTGCTGGCGCGGCGGTTTGGGTCCCTGGCCTGGACGATGCGGCAGGTGCTGGGCCTGGCTGACGTGGCGCACGGCGTGCTCGGTCCCTCTTTCCTCCAGAGCGTCACAGGCCTGCTGAACCGGTGGTCGGGGCGGCTCGTGCCCGAATGGAACCCCTACATGCCCAAGGTGCGGGTCGTTTGGTGACTGTTCGGAGGGATGTGTCGGCTTACAAAAATGATGTCCCCAGTATTGCAGTGTTGGCGTGTGTCAACGAGCACACTAGCGTGGCCGGAGAAGTTTGCATCCGCCGGGCTCCGCTCTTCAGTCATCCTACTTCTGTGACCGCCTCCCTTACTACCTCCCCATCTCCTAAGCCCCCCCTTCCCCTTCGCAGCGCGCGGCCAACGTGGACATGTCCCCCGCCCAGCCTGAGCAGCTGGTCACCGACCGTGGCATCCCCCGCAAGGTGGTCTACCTGCCCGCCTGCGTGACGCGGATCATGGGTCCGGCGCGCGGCGACGACCAGCAGGGTGAGTGGATACCTGGCTTCTGACGAAGGGGTGGGGCTTGGCGGGTCTGGACGTGCATGGCGTGGTGGGGATTGCCCTGTGAGCCACTCCGGGTCTAGATGTCATGGGATAGAGGCAATCCATGGACATGACCAACACCATGTGGCAAAGTGGTGCACTTCTTTGGGAATGGTTCCAACTCCTCACAAACATCTCGACACCTCCCACCTGACACATACCCACAGACTCTGTGCACGAGAAGATGCTGTCTCTGTTCAACAAGGCCGACTACGAGGTGGTGTACCCCGAGGGCTTCTCTGGCAGCTGCTGCGGCATGATGTTCAACACCCGTGGCTTCAACCATGTGGCTGATGGCCTGGCCAACGACCTTGAGGAGTCGCTCGTGAAGGCTTCTGGTGAGTGGTTTTGGATGGAGTGGAGGCAGGATGCATGTCAGCTGCAGGCATGTGTAGTCACGAGTGTTTGGCTGGGCCTGGGAGAGTGAATGCCTTCAAACAATGGAGGAAACCGAAAGTCTTGATGCCATCCTGGTCTCACTCCTCCTCACACGACATCCCATCACCCTGAATCAATTCGCAGAGGGCGGCAAGTACCCGATTGTTGTGGACACCTCCCCCTGCCTTGCCAACATCAAGGGCCACCTGAAGAACAAGGATCTGAGGTGGGTCATGACAGAAGAGATGCATCCTGCCAATGTCTCGTCTGCAGAAGAAGGTTATGTCAGGTGGTTTGAGATTGCCAAGCACTCTCTGGCGACGCTGTCCCCCCTACCCTCCCTGGCACTCAACCCTGCCATCCTCCTCCCTACCATGTCCAGGTTTGCACTGTACGAGCCTGTGGAATTCATCTCCACCTTCCTCACCGACAAGCTGGAGTGGGAGCAGGTCAGGGAGAAGGTGGCCATCCACGTCCCCTGCTCCAGCAAGCAGATGGGGGTCTCCTCCCACTTCGCCAAGGTGCGCAGAGCGTGCAGACAAGGAGGGTGGATGTACAGAGCCAGGTCGTTGCATGGGCCACAACCATGTGTGAGGAGTTGCAGGGCTGGATACAAATGGTCTTGCATTCAGCTGGCAGGTGCAGGAAAGTGTGCTTCCTAACACAGATTGCACTGGTGGAACGGCTGCGCCTAGGACCCTCCTTTCACACACATGTGCGACAACCCCCCCCACCGCCTCACACATACACACACACACAACCTTTGACCCAGGTGGCATCCAAGTGCGCCGGCAGTGTCGTGGACTCCAACATCCCGTGCTGCGGCATGGCCGGCGACCGCGGGATGCGGCTGCCGGAGCTGACTGGCTCCTCCCTGCAGCACCTGGGTGTGGACGGCTGCTCCGACGGCTACTCCACCAGCCGCACCTGCGAGATCGCGCTGAGCAAGCAGGCCGGCTTCAATTTCAGGGGACTGGTGTACCTCGTGGACGAGGCCACCCGGCCCAAGGCGCGATCCAGCTCAGACACGGCGGCGGGTGGCCGCTGAGTGGGCATGCGGTATGCCCTTCTCAGACCCGCCCCACACAAGCTGTGGACGTAGAGGGGTCGATTTCCTCCACGTATGGCTGCAGGGGCAAGGATTTTTGTGTATCCTACTGAGATTGACCCCAACAGAGTCGGCCTGCAGGCCAGCAAGCGTCGCACGCTGCTTGCCGTGCGGCTGACGTAGAGAACGATGAAGACTGATCCGAAAGACAAGCGGTCCTCAGATCATGGCATTCCTCGCCTTGCATCACCGTTGTGTCCCCAGATTATGCCTGTGACTGTATCGCTTTTGTAACGCGCCAAGCAACCCGTCATAGGCAACCTGCTTGGTGTCGGGGGTGAGAGTGCAAACTTGCAGAGTGGAGCAAGCTCCGCTGGAGTATGGAACAAACAACGGGAATGGTTACAGCGCCTGGAGATGAGGGTTCCCACCATGGCCCGATCAGTTGAAAATTCCAGCAAGCGGGGGACACTTGGGACGGCATCAATGTGTTCACAATATGGTACAGAAGGAGCACTCTATGGCTGCTCAGTGAGGAAGAACCCAGAAGCTCACGCAGGTATCATGTCTTCAGGATGCATCGCCACAGGGTCTCGCGCCTTCCCTTCCTCCTCAGCCAATGGTTCCAAAGCCTCCCCTTTGTCTTCAGATGCCAATCCAAGATCCTCCCCTTCCTCCTCGGCGGCCAGATCCGCATCCCCCTCGTCCACCTCAGCCCCCGGCCCAGCCTGGATCTCTTCCGCGCCATCAGCCTCCAGTATGCTCTGCGCCAGAGCCTCCATCTCTGCCCTCCTGGTCAGGCACGCTTTCTTCCAGCCGGGGTTCAGGCACGCAGCGCAGACCCCACACTTCTGGATGGACCTGATGGTGGGGAAGAAGGACCGGCGCCGCTGACCAGGCCGTTCCGGCCTCACCTGCGGCGGCGCCTTGGGGCGGGGGGGTGCTGGCACGCGCGCCCGCGGCGACGTGAGCTGCACGCCGAGTGCTGCGGCCGCAAGGGGCCCATGCTTCTCGATCAGAGCCGCCAGCCTCGCCGCTCGATCTGCGGCTCTCTCCACGCTGTTCTTCCATTTGGTCTTGGTCTTCAGGCCCGACCCTGCCAGTAGCCACGTCGGGAGGGCCTCCGGGTTGCCTGCAGAGGAGGGCGCAGTTTTCGACGCATTCTTACAATCTATCATCGTAACAGTGCACAGCTAGGACGAGAGAGAATCGCAGTGCGCAGAATGAACGCCTTCCTGCCCCGCCGTTCCCCTCCATGCACCTGTCCCAGAGTCCCACGCCCGGAAGCAGACGTGGCCTCGTCCAAACATGCTCCTGACCTCCTCATACGCCATGCCCTGGCGGATGTGGTGTGAGTGCTGCGTACCACACGACAATCGAAGTTGAACTCATTTTAGCAGGGACCGCATAAGACACCCAGCCACTGTCCCTCACCTTGGCCATGTGGTGGATGGAGTGCCCGATGAATACAGGCACTGAGTCCCTGCCTTCAAGGTCACACAGTTCAATCTACAGGGAGACGGGGTGTGGGAGGGAAGGGCTGGGAGCAGAGAGTGCTGTCCCCATAATCACCCTCGGCCTGGTAGGAGCCCCTCCCCGGTTTGCAGCGAGACAAGGACCGCATGGGCATGTCATAGACATGGCGTTTGCAAGAACCATTACCATAATCCACACTCCCTCGGGCTACCTCTACGGGGTTGGTGACCGTGCTGTGGTCTGCAAATACCTCGTTGACCTGAAAGTAGGTCCCATTCAGCGGGAACCTGCCCAGGAGGGCCGTCGACGCTGGGAGGAGGACGATGCCACGGCAGTGGGTGGCAGGCGAGCAGGCTGCCTCCTTGGATGCCAGTATGGTGCCCGGTGAGGCACCGTCTGAGGCTTCTTCCAAGCATGCAGCACATCTGTCGACCTGGTCGACAGAGTCGTCGGCCGCCAGGCTTGTGTCTGCAGTTAGCACTGCGTCAGTCTCCACCCCTGCATGGACCTCCAGCCCCTGCTCGGCTGCCAAGCTCATAGGATTCTCCAGGTGAGCATCAACCTCCATGTCTACGTGGCTAACTGGCACCGGGGACGCTGCGCCCTCAGCCCCGGCCACTGGCGGCAGCACTTCGGGCTCGAACATCCTTGCCGCAGTCCTGCTCCCTTGCGCCGACACCTCACACGGCTCAGGAAGAAAGAGGGGAAGCTGCTCCCGGCGTTGGCTGCTGCCGTATCGGGCTAGGCGCGGCGGCAGCATGCCCCAGGGCACCGCCAAGCAGTGCAGGACGAGACGGGCGGGGTTCCGCACGCCCCCAAGAGCCTCATCATTGCTCCGCCCCAGCTCCGCCACGCTCTGGAAGCGGGGCCCAGCATCCTCCTTGCCGCAGCCCACCTGCTCCCCCACCGCGATATCAGGAGCGGGCACCATCTCCTCCTGCAGCACCTCCAGGGCCAGCTGTAGGGCCGAGAACACCTCATGAGCGTCCGGGTGGGAGCAGCGATCGGGGTGCACGTGGCGGGACAGCTGCCTGTACCGCTGGCGCCTGGCAAGGGGCTCGCTGTCCTCTGGCAGGCCAAGCAAAGCCCGCGCGAGCTGGCTGTTTTTTTGGATGGAGATTTGACGGTGGATGAACGCCCACGGACTCGATGGAAGGTGTGTATTCCATTGCAGGGCTGGCTGCAACTCATGCGTCTCACCTGATGTCCTCCTTCACAGGACCAAGGTCCCCTCCAGGCTCCTCATCCTCATCCTTGGGCAGAGCGGCTTGGCTGGCGACAGCCTCCAACAGCGCATGGGCGGGCTGGAGGAGGGTGCTGCACACGCCATGAACGGCATTGGAAGGTGGGCTGGGGAGGACGTTGTCTTGCAAAGACACCGGCGCCGGTCGCCGATCCTCCTTGGTCTGCGGAGTGGGGCTGATTTCGTCCCGCATGGATACCGACGCCGCCCCCTGCCCTTTCTCCACACATGGCGCAGGGGTGTCTGAATCATCAGCGTCCAAGTCTCCCAGTCTCTCTGGGGGACCCGCCAGTGGTCCTGCGCCGGAAGCAAAAGAATATGGGCACACCCACGCGACCTTGCAGCCAGCTGCAGGGAGGCGTGTGCCATGCCATCCAATGCCGGTGCTTGAATGGTGTGGAAGTCGCCGCCTCTCCCTTCGTACCTTGTGGGACGGAGTGCAAAATCATGGGCTCCAGTGACTCGGCATCCATGGACAGGTCCTCGGCCAGGCCGCCGAGAGGCGTCAGGTCAACAATCCCATCCGGCTCTCCGCCAGCCCCGCCCCGCCTGCTGCGCTTTCCTCGCTTGACTGAGCCCAGCACGGCATCGAGCCCCGCTCCCCGCTCCGGGTCCTGCTCTGCCTGCATGCGCTGCAGGCGCTGCACCTGCCTCCAGTGCAGCTTGTGCGCCGGCCTGGGCCTGGGTGGGGAGGCCTCCAGCTCCCCAGGCATGGCCAGCGACGCGCGGCGTATTGCGGGCTGCGGCCGTGCAGAGGCCTCCCGGTGCTTGTCCGGCGTGGGAGGAGCGAGCGCAAGACCCGCCGCCTGGGCCGCGGCCCTCCTGACTTTCTTCTCCGGGCCCCCGTTCAGGGCAAACTCGCAGGCGTCCCGCAGGGGGCAGGCAGAGCAGTTGGGACGGAGCTTGTTGCAAAACACCTTGCCCTGCACGGAGGCAGTGCAGGGGATGGGTGAGCCCGCAAGAGGTGGCCAGGTCGTCTGCTTTCCTGGATGCCCTCCCTCACTGGCCCTCACCAGGGTGATCATTTGGTAGTGCAGCTCGTAGAGCGTCTCCACATCAAAGCCGACCAGCCTGGGCGTGTGTAGATACTTCAAGTGGTTTGTATTCATTACCATAGGGCGATGGTGTGCGTGGGCGTCTGGGCCAAGGCTTTTGTACCTTGAACGCTCAGCAGCCCCTGCAATCCCCAGCCGGGATGCCTCTGCACTCCTCCGTGGATTCATACTCTGCATGGCCCGTCTTACCCACCTGCTGTGCAGATACTTGTGAACCTCTGGCTCGGGCGCATAGTCGTCCAAGGCCTCCACGGCATCCTCAGAGTCCAGGGGGATCCACCCAAGTCTGGCAGTGACGGGTAGGGAGGATGAGCTCGCCGCTGTGCTAATTCAGCTTCATTGTGCAAACTACCTAGACAGTAAATGCCTGCGTGAGTGTGATAGTCTTTCCCTGCCAACCCAGCTCACCTTGCTGCGATGCGGCCCACATTGACGTCAACAGGGAACTCCTTGTTTCGGAGGGTGAGCAGGACGATGCAAGCGACGCTCTTTCTTCCGAGACCTACAGGGGCCAGGAAGGGGCAACGTGGTGTTTTGAAGGTTGTGGGAGCCTCTGTGGACCCTGTGCAACTGGTTAGAGGTTCAAACATAGGATAAGGCAGGCAGCGCAGCTCCAGAATACCAGTCACTCGACTCAACCCACCATGAAGGGAGGAAAGGAAGTCATGCGCCTCCTTTGGTGGCAGGTCCCGCACCCACTCCAGGGATAGCAGCTCCTGGGCCTCCATGCCAGGGCAGGTTTCGTCCCAGGGATCAGGCACGGGTGTGCTCGTCAGCGTCATGATCGGCTCAGGGCGAGGGATGCCCTCCGCCTCGAGCTCGTCAGCGTCCGCCTCGAGGTCCAGTGGAAGCCCAGCCGGCAGGGCCTTCCCTGGATCTGTCCCTGCGTTGGCACCCTCCTGATCTGCTGCAACTGACAGAGGCTCAGGGCCAGGGCCCTGAGCCTCCTTCTTCACCGAAATATGGCCGACGCTCGCCCAGTCCTGGCCCTTGGAGCGCGCCCAGTTGACTCTCCGGATGTGGTTCAGGCAGTCGTGGATCCTGGCAGCCAGGAAGTTTTGCATCCCACGACCCTTGATGGCATCAGCCACCTGGATGGGGGAGGATACTCAGAGGTCGGGTCAGCATGGCGACTCATGCCAAGCATGTAATGTTTGGAAAGCCACGGAGAAAACACGGTCCGCCGCCACGACACCATGCCGTTCCATCCCACCTGGGCCTTGTCAGCGCAGCGCACCGCCTCCCAGTCCACCGAATCGGAGTGGTCGTGTCGTGCCAGGTCAGCGGCGGGTGGAAAGCGCGCAGCCATGATCATGAAGGCGCTGCTGGAGAGGTGGTCGGCCACGTTCTGGGTCAGGAAGGCGCCTATGACGGAGTCCAGGACGGAGCCGGACCAGAGGAAAGTACGGCGTCGATCCCCCAGCACAGCCCTGTGAAGTGGTCCAAGAAAGGGTGTAGGGGAGGTGGGAGGGTGTGCTGGATGAATTAATCAAGTTGAGACACTGTGTACCTTTGAATCTGGTGCAGGGGATGGGAACGCAAGGATAGGACAACGGGCAGGGGAAGAAAACCCGAATGACAGTCACTAAAAATACACAGACGAGCAGCAGGAGCAGCACCCAGTAGCAAAACCCTGGTCCGCATTTGTCCAGGGTCCAAATTCCCCCTTCACCACCCCACAAAAGAGCACCTCATGGCCTGCTGGAAAGTGGCAACCCTCTTGTGCCACAAGAGGATCTCGTCAGCGCCGTAGGCGACCATCGTCAGAGCGCCGTCGCGTAGGACATGCGCCCTCCTCTCTGCAACGATCGGATGGCAGTTTGAGCCAACGAATGCATGCAGCTGTTGCAGGCAGCTAAAGGGCGAATGGCAGGAGGAACCAGGGATTGCGAACGTGGTTGTAGCTGCTACCAAAAGAGTCAGTGCCGTCCCTTTCCCACTCACTTCTGGGTTGTCGGACGAGACTAGGGATGAGGAGGGGTGGGGAGGGCACCCCACCTCCATCAGCCAATCCTGTGTCCTCAATGTCAGGCAGGCCCAGCAGGGTGGAGACATCTGGGGGCGGAACATGGCTTGGTAGCGGGTTGCTAGCTTCCAGCTGGGGTGTGGCTGAGCGGGCAGGAACGGTCTGACTCATACCCTGAGGGAGTGCGTCCTCCGGATGAAAAGCACAGCAGCATCCGGAGATGAGCCCAGGGCCTCACTGCCGGCCTGACTGCAGGCTCCATGTGTGATCCTCCCCTCACCTGGGGCGACCGGGGGGGCCAGGGCTATTGATCCTGGGTCGGTTGGAGACTCAGGCAGGGGTCTGGTGTCGAGCAGACCCACCACTTCAGGCACCTCAGCCAGCCAGGAGATCATGTCGGCCAGCCTTTCATCCATTTGTGCACCAGCTGGACCGCCCTCTCCATCTGGGTCATAAGGGGGATCCTCCGGATCCCCCGCACCAACATCGGACGGTCTTGGGGTGCTGGGGCGGGAGGCACCCTCGGAGGGCGATGCGGCCCCCGCACCCCTCCAGCCCCACCCAGCCTTCCTCTGAGATATTCTCCTGCTGGGTTCGCGTTGCATTGGGTGCGAGTGTACGATGCACCCTGCCGCTGCCCTTGCCACTCTTGGCTAGGCATCGGGAGATGTGCCGGAACGTCCGGAAGAAAGTTTGGCTTTTCTTGTGGGAAGGTCGTTGAGAAGCCTGTGAAGCGTCAGATGTGGACTCTTCCCAGCGTTTGAGGCGGATTACAGACGTGCGAGGTGCGCATGTGGCAGCGCAGAGACAGAGTGGGATTCGGCAAGGTGTACACGTGAGGATCAAAATTGCCCAGTCTTCCAAGTGAAAGAATCCTGCCTCCCTCAGGGCGTCAAGGTGAACCCCTTGGCCTCGACCTCGGCCAGCAAGGCCTCGGTGTCAACACCCCAGCTCTGGCTGGCCTCCAGAACCTGCTGCCTGCTGACGACAGGGCCGGCACAGGGCTCGCCGGCCTCTTTGTCGTCCCCGAACGAATCACCTTCGTCATCCTCCTCGTCAGATCCGGAGGCCTCGGCGTCCAGCACGTCAAACACCGCACCCTCGCCATCCTCATCCTCACTCTCCTCCTCCAGATCGCTCTCCCCCTCGTCCTCGTCCCCGTCCTCCTCCTCATCGCTCCCTGGGTCGAAGCCGTCAGAGCCCGCGCCCGGCGCAGCCGCCGAGTTCCACCTCCAGCCGCCGCCCCCGGCGTTCACGGGAGGGGACGCGCCAGCCGCCTCGGCCCCCTGCTGCTCCTGTTTGAGGAGTGTCGGGGTACAGGAGGAGGGTGACTTAGCCTTGAGGATAAAAGCACGTTACACAGCTGAGATGTGTTCCTGTTCCGGCTGCATCAAGAGCCTAAGCGACACCTGGACGTGGACATCCTCAAAGATTCTGGGGCACATCCCACTCCCACACTTCATCCTCGTACCTGGACTGCTTGTGCAAATACGTCCCCCAGGCGTTCATGTGCATTGCCAGGGGAGAGCACCGCGAGGTAGATGGTCCCGAGGCCTGAGTTCTGGAGCAGGGTCCACAACTGGACCTGGGCCTCCCCGAGGAGACCAGAGCACAGCAGCACTCGCGTGCCGCCCCAGCCTCCGCCTGGAACGAAAGAGTCAGGGAGGGGCACCTCCCAGTCCGGCTCCTTCACGCTGCTCAGAGAAGATACCCGGCTGTCCAGGAGCTGGGGCGTGGCGGGTATGAGTGGCAAGTCTGATGCTGCTGCCTGGTCGAGCATCAGGCGCAGATGCGCCAGCTCCTCAGCAAGGAACCCCGCGGCGACCAGCATCTGCAAGAGTGCATGGGAGTTGCTGGTTGTGAGATGGATATTCACAGGGAAAGGCGGGGGGGTGCCGAGTGAAGCACCAGATCATGAGTTCTAAATGCGACGCTGGCCTTCCGGGCTCCCTTCCCGTGAAACCCTGGCCCGCCACTCGGCACTTCCTACCTGAGGTCCGAAAGCCTCCTCTGCGGGCTCTACGTCCTCATCGAAACCTTCGTCCCCAACGCTGGGCTCATCTTCTGCATCGTCGGGCCAGTCGTCCCACGCCTCCCGGTGGTGTGTGAAGTCGATTACTGGCTCAACGAGCGCCGCTCGCAGGCGACACGCCCGCCGTCCGCGCCTGTGCGCCCACGTCGTTTGCACGTCACTCCTGGGCCTGGGCAGAGCTGGGGCGGGGGCTCGATGCCCAGAGGGTGCCCGCTGGGCCAGGGACTGAGCCCGGGGGGCCGCAGCGCTGCAACCGCGCATCTCAGCTCGGGACCCCGCTCGGCAAGCCGGCAATTAATTTGGTTGGGTGCAGCAATGTGGGTGAGGGGTGAGGATTGTTGGAGGTGGCGCAGCGTGCCTCGCTGCTCTGGGAATCGTTCTGGGGCGCAAGTTTTTCGAGGCCCTGCATTATCCTCGTCCATGCAACAAGTGAATTGAGCGCCGCATGCACAGCACGGTAGGGCCGGAGATTTTCTGTTTGCATCGCCGACGAGTTTTCCATGCAGCACCGCCTCTCGGCCCCCCCCCCCACTCCCTGAGTGCACTCCCAGTCCTGATATTTCCGGAACCTTGTCGGGCATTGCAAGATTTGCATTTCACAGTGGGGACTGGGCCCCATCCCTGCCATCAGGCAGCACTCAAGCCGGACCCGGGGCCGGCCGGGTCTGCGCCGGCGGGCCTGGCCTCGCTGGGACTCGCATCGCCCGGCCCCGCCCCCACCGGCATGCCCAGGGCGGCCTTGAGGGCCTCCGCCTCCTGCCTCACGTTCCTGCTCCTCGCTTGGCCCTCGCGCAACGGGCGCGGCGGCGCGGCCTCGCGCGCCCCGCCGCCCCGCGCGTCCACGACCACCACGTTGCGCCGCGCGGCGTTCATGGACCTGATCCTGAACTCGCGCAGCTCGCCCGTGCGCTGCTGCGTGGCCCAGCTGGCGGCGTGGGCGGGGAGGAAGGCCACCAGGCCGCCCACGCCCACCGCGAAGCCGCCGTGCAGGGCGTTCAGCACGCGGCCGCGCACGGTGCGCCCCTCGCGGAAGCGTGCCTCCAGCTCCGCCCAGACCGAGGCCAGGCGCCGCTGCCCCGCAGCCGCCTGCCCGCTGACCAGGGGGCCGCCCTCGGGCGTCTCCACGTACTCCAGGTACACCTGCAGCACGTCGCCGGGCAGCACCGCGGCGGGCGAGGCGCGGGGGCCGGGCGCGCGCACCACGATGCTGTCGGGCGTGACGTCGGCGGGGGCCAGCGAGGCCATGCGCAGGCCGGTGTCCACCAGCAGGCGCTGGCGGTCCACGCTGACCACGCGCGCGCGGATGATGGACCCCTCCAGCTTCATGCTCGAGTTGTGCAGCCGGAAGAGCGCGCGCTCGTGCTGCAGTTTTGGTAGGGTGGGGGGGGAGCAGGGGAAGAGGGTGGGATGAAGGGCCGACGGGAAGATGAATCTACTGCAGGCCGGGCGGTCCAGGGGTTGTAGGGTTGGGGGGCATGGTAGCACTCCAAAGGAATCAAGCGCATCATCCCTGAGACGAAATCTGGCACTGCTGTGTCTGCCCCCCCGGTGCACCCTCAGGAGTGCACCACACCCTCGGCCAGACAACTGCTCCACCAGTCTCAGCAAATGCCCACTGAGTACATGCCACCCACCCTCGCACCTCGAGCTCGGAGGTGGAGGCCTCGTCGGCGGAGAGGGCGTGCTCCACCTTCATGCCCTGCACGGCTGCCAGGCGTCTGGCGTGGGCGGGGTCCTGCACCTGCGCGCTCGCGAGGCCCAAGGGGCCCACGGCAGCGGTGGAGTAGGCTCTGAGGCCCGGCACCCAGGCCAGCAGAGATCTGCACTGTCTGCAGGCCATGACGCCCCTGGCCAGCCCCAAAGTGCGGGCGTAGCCCTGAACCCCACGGGATTGGCGGAGAAAGGGACGTCTGCCGGCCCCAGTCGCCGCGCCGAATCGCACGGATGTAATTTATGAATGAATGGGTTGCAAAGGCTCTCTCCGGATCGCAAACACCGCATGCCCTGCTCGGGGGCCACGCAAACTGCATGTGCGCAGCACCCCTCCCCACTTCGCCCTGGGCGCGAAGTCGGAATGAGACCCATCGACAATGTTGTACCTCGGGCTGTCAATCGACGACTGTTGCACAACAGCCTCATCACCATTTTCAATAGCAGCACCTCGCAAAGTGACGACTGCGCAATGCTGGAATGGCGGAAGTGACAGAGGAGCACTCCATCCTCCGTGTGACTGACCCTGACCTCGCCGGGGCTCTGCGCGAATGCCTGGACACTGGTACCGAGGAGGATGTCAAGTCCGCCAAGATTGTGTTTGAAGGTACGATGATCATGTCTTCCTGGTATCGACGCATGCGTGCGTGGGCGATGGAGGGCCAATGAGAGCCTCGTCATGCACCTCCTGAAGCCTGCCCATCCCCCCCTTGCCGCCCGATCCTCCCACCGAGCCTCCCACTGGTCACTTCACCATGCAGACAGCGACCAGCATGGTTCCTTCGTGTTCAGGGGGAAGCCATACCCCCTCAAGGTGCTGAACCTGCCGTGTGTCGCGGAGACCTACAAGACCTACGACGACGTCAATCTGGTGAAGAGCGGCGACGTGGGCCAGGTGCTGGTGGTGGGGGACGCTGTGCCCCTGGAGGGCCCCCCCGGCGAGTCCCGCGACGGCATCACCCGCCCCATGCGCAATGCGCGGGAGCGCATCTTCAGGCAGGCGCTGGATGTGGAGCCGGAGATCGTGAGCAAGGTGGAGATGGACCTCCTCACCATCCTCGCTGTGAGTGGGGAAGGAGAAGGATGGGTTTGCAGATGCAGGTCTCAGGAGGCGGCGTTTGAGGGCCCAGACACTCAGGCTGAGTGTGCCGATTGTTCACAGGGGGGGAAGAGAAGGTGTTCTGCAGGGCTATGCCTGCCTGTCTGCCAGACGAGAGTGTGGGCCTGTGATGAATGTCAGCTGCAGCTGCAAACAGGCTACCATGGCCCACAGTGATGACCTGGAGAACTTGGTGCACACCGAGCATCCTGCCAGCAGGGAGCGCCTGTCCACATGCAGTCCTATTCTAGCTCTTGGTCTCATCCCTGACCTCCTCCTTTCCTTACAGGGCGGAGCCCCGCCAGGCATGCAGTTTGTAGACTATGAAGAGGTCTGGCAAGTAAACCCTGAGACGGGTGTGGGGGAGTGGGTCCCGGCCACAAAGCAAAAGGCCTGAAAAGCATTGTAGTGATACACTTGGGCACGTCAGGGTCATGTAATATAAGGATTGTTTCTGTGCCCACCATGGGGAGAAGAGAGAACAGTGTCAAACATACATTCAGAGAACAGCAAGGTGGTCGTGAATGTTACAATCAGAATGTGAAAGACCAGCTGGAGGTGCAGTGTGCCCAAAGCTCCAAAATGCCTCAGGTCCCCACGTCACTTGTGATGGCTGTCGCGCTGCATGGAGCGTGTCATTGGGAGAGCAAGGCTTCGTTATGATTGCCCGGAATGTGTTATGGACTCCATGTGCATGCTCCTTGAAATACAGCGCACTCACATGGTGGGGGTGGGTGACCAGTTTGGGGAAATCCCGGGCATCCTCCTTTTTCTCGTGCGTGTCCTTCACTGACGGCCCGGGCCGTCGCTCCATGGATTTGCGGTACACATCTGCCCTGTCCTTGTCGTTCTTGACGAACCGATTGAACATCTTCTTACGCTGGTCCAGGATGGACGCGAAGATGGCACCGGCACCCATGGTGGTGACCCGCCGCAGATGTTTTGGAGTCGTGACAAGATTGTTAATCGGATTGTCCTGCTCTTTAGAAAATTCAATGCTGTACGAAGCGGGCAAGGAGTCAGTAGCAGCACGAAACATCAGGACGCGCATCACGGAACACGCGCCGGTCTCAGGTCCTGCATAGAACGGAACCATCAGTCGGCAACTTCAGTCTGACCAAGAGCAGCTGTACCTCTGTGAGCTCTGATACCATTCTCTGTATGTACAGGAGAATTGGGTTGTTGTGCAAGGATTGTACATGGGCTTCAGAGGGTGGTGCAGCGGCAGAGAGAATATGGACAAGATTGATGCACCCATCCTCATCCCAGCCATCTCCGAGCACCAAACAATACAACAGGTCTAACAAACACTGCACCTAAGGAGTCCATATAGAATATACAGCAGGGACACTGCGACTCAAAATTGGGCAAAGCAGCGCGAGCAGTTGCCTTCACAGTCGCCCTCGCAATCGGTGATGGCCCCTAGCACTTTGGGTTTCCTCTTCACAGAGGACGCCAGCACGGAGCCCTTCATTCGGTACGCCTGCTTCAGCTTGTTGACGTTGTGCTGCATCAGATCAGGACTCAGCCCCAGCACCTGGGGGAAGTCCTTGACCACTTTCCCCTGATCTTCTGGAGCGGCAATACCGACCGACGAAAGGAACTCTAGTGCCTCTGCCAATCGCTGCACATCTGGGACTTCGTCCTGCTTGGCTCCCTGCCAGTATTTCTTCTTCTTGCCCCAGCCGAAAGCGGAGCCAATCGCCTTGTCGGCATCCTTACGCTCCAGTCCCAGGACCTCCAGAGCCTCGGCGCAGGCGTCCCATTGGGGCCTCACAGACTCAGGTACCTCTATTCGCTTGTCCGAGCCGCGAAGCAGTCCGCCACGAGCCCGGGAGCGGGGCCCAGGGCCGGCACAGCGGAAGGGGCGGGGGAGGGGGATGGCCACTACTCGCGCGGTAAACGCCGTGTGCATGGTGTACGCTCTGATGTGGCGATTATATGTGCCATGATATTACCATGTTCACGCTCTGTATCTGCAAAGAAGTCTGGTGGAACACCTTGTGGCAGAGGATCCTTCCCCCGCAGATCTGATCTGATGCCTTGTTGCATTGAGGAAGCGCAGCCTCTGCGCCGCAACTCAGTCGTAATAGCATTACATATAGTGGCCAATCTCATTGCAATTCAAGTTTGTAAGGTTGTTTGATGCCAGTTTGGAACAGCATCGGGGCAATGCAGCTGTGGTGAGGTCAGGGCACCTGCTGTGATTGGAAGTTCAGTTGTCGGCAAGGCCTTTGATGGAGTCAAGGCTGAATTATATATATTTATTGCCTGCGACGTGTTTCCAAATGTGCCGTTTTAGTGCTTCAGCATCGACCAGCGCCGAAGCTGTAAGCAGCTAGCAATGTCCTCTGCACACCAGCTCAATAAGAGCACTTGGCACCGGGATCACAACACGTTACAACCCCCCATTCCCTTGACTATCTTATGTCAGACTTTCAAACGCTGATGTGTCCGGCATGAGCGCCGAGAGGGAGGTGTGTTATGAGCCGCACAGCTGTGCTTTTTCATGCACCCGCCAAAGTGGCGGGACGGCGCTGGCGCCCCGAGATGTTGGGTGACATGTGCAAGGAACGGTTGCATGCGCTGGCAGATAGCAGCACGCTTCTCCAAGGGCACATTTATATATGGGAATATCTCGGTGCCCCCCTTCCAGCCCGCCGCTCGCCCCCGCTGCCGCCATGCCGCGGTCCTCACCTGCAGCCTGAACCTAGCGAGAGCCTGAGGGTAGCACCCAGGCTAAGTTCAAACAATTCCACCGTCTCGTCTCAGCATGGAGCTGGCTTCCCTGCGCAGTGCGCTGGATGAGGCGCCGGCCCACCCCTCCTCTCGGCCCACCGCACCCTCCATCCGGGGTGACGGCGCCTTCATCGCGGAGCTGCGGGCCAAGCACTCCCACTCCAGCCAGCCCGAGAGCCGACAGCTGCTAGCCATCGCCTCCGCCCTGCTGGAGGTGGTGCGGGAGGAGGGCCTGGACCCCACCCCCACCGCCCTCTTTGCCGCGGCCATGGCCTCGCTGGAGCGCCCCGACGTCGCCCGCTCCCCGCCCCTGCTGGCGGGCATGGCCACCCTCCTCAACTCCCTGCTCCCGCGCGTGCCCAACCCCGTGCTGCGCGCCAAGTTCGCGCCCGCCAGCGCGCTCCTGCGCGGCCTGCTGGCCGGCGCAGGGACCGACGCGCAGCTGGCCAGGCCCGCGCTGGGCGCGCTGTGCCAGGTGCTGGCCGCCGCCGACCCGGCTGACTGGCCGGCCGCGCTGCCCTCCTTTGGCTTGGTGCTGGCCGCCTGCGCCGACGCGCGGCCCAAGGTGCGCCGCCGCGCGCACGCGGGGCTGGAGGAGGTGCTGGCGGCGATGGGCGTGCGTCCCGCGACCCTGGCAGCCGCCAGCGACCTGGTGGCCGCCGAGGCCGAGCGCGTGCTGCTGGGGCCGGAGGCCGCCGCGCGCGCGGCCGCCGCCGCCGGGTCCAAGCGCCGCGCCGCGGCCGAGGAGGCCATTGTCGCCGCCACGGCGGCTGCGCTGCATGCGCTGGGGGCGCTGCAGCGCGTCGCACCGTTGCTGGCGCCGGAGGCCGCCGCGCGCGTGGCCGCCGCAGCCATCGCCCTCCTGCCCCTGCGCCAGCCGCTGCTGTCACGCCACGCCGCCTCTGTCGTCGTCGCGCTGCACAGCTGCCCCCCGGAGAGGGGCACCGGGGTCGCGGAAGTCGCCGCGCACCTGCGCGCCGTGCTGGCCTGCGAGCTCAGCGTGGCGGAGCGGCGGGACGTGGAGGGTGTGGCTGCCCGCGCCCAGCTTCTCGCCGTCTGCACGAAGCGGTGAGCGTGTCCACTGGGTGGGTGTCAGGGTGTCGTGGAGCTTGGAAGGCTGTCGTGAGAGTCTCTGGGGTGAGGAGTGCCCAAGGCATCACGGAACATCCATGCAGCACTCCATCCAGCCGCGCAACCTCCCACCCTCTCGCCCCCAGGCTGCACCGGCTGGAGACCATGGCCACACCTGGTACCCCCAGCACGGCCGTGCAGACCTGGGACCTCCTGCCCCGCGTCTTCCAGTACCTGCTCCCGCTGCTGGGCGCCGAGCTGGACAGCGTGCGCGGCGCGGCGGCAGACACGCTGGGCGGCCTGCTGGAGGCCTGCGTGGACGCCGCGGCGATCCGGGCCGCGGCCGAGGCCCCCGCGGCGGGGCGCCCGCGCGGCCTCCGCGCCCTGGTCTCCGCCTTGGAGTCGGCACTGTCGGCACACAGCGAGGCGGGCTGGCCGGGGGCGCTGGGCCTCTGCGCGCGCCTGTTCGCGGCGCTGGGGCGCGGGGGCGCGGAGGCCGCGGCGCCGCTGGTCGTGCGCGTCGCGGGGCTCTGCGACGGCGCGGACGAGGGCGCGGCGCCCGACGCGGCGCCCGCCGACGGGCCGCGCCTGGCCGCGCAGCAGTGTATGGCCGCCGCGCTGCGCACGCTGGGCCCGCGCGCTGTGCTGAGCGTCGCGCCGCTGGGCCTGCTGGAGGGGCTGCGCACCGGGGCGCAGGCGCGGACGTGGATGCTGCCGCTCCTGCGCCAGAATGGCGGCGCGGGGGAGCTGGGCTTCTGGGCCGAGCAGCTCCTGCCCACCGCGCAGGCCATCGGGAAGCGCGGAGCAGTGGCCACCAAGGGGTGCGTGGGTTGTGCGAGTGGACGGGGGGGAAGGGGGGGGAGGGGTGATGAGTGTGATTGGGGTGATGAGTGTGATGGGGGTGAAGCGGTTGGTGATGTGGGTCTCCCCCCATGAGGTCAGATCTTCAGGCAGGGACCTGGCAGGCTTCTTTCCAGTGCTTGGCAGGTGTGAGACTCCTGATTGGACCTGGAGGTTTGACTTGATGTCAAGCACAAGAACCCCCTGAATGGCCCCCTCGCCTTCAACCTCCTGTCCTCTCAATCAAATACACCCCAACCCACCCCCTCACACGCGCAGGAAGAAGGACAGGGAGGCGCAGCTGTGCGCGACCCTGGAGTCCCAGCTCTGGGCCTGCCTCCCAGCATTTGTCAGCTGGGCAGAGGATGGCGGCGCGGTGTGGAGGTGGGTGTTTTGGGGTGTTTGGGGTGGCACAATTGTATCAGTCTGGTTCAATCATTGTCCTTTGAGGGCTGGGGTGTCCATTGCAGCTCTTCTCGCACCGCTTCCCGATCCAACCACCCCCAAATTGGCCGATGACGATTCCAATGTTCGTTGTTGAGAACCGAAACCCAGATGTGGATTCTTACATTTTGTCACTACCACTGAGGCCGGGGGGAGGCGCTCCTGCTTGTGCATTGCTGCATTACGCTCTGTTTCCCCGCAACCAGATTGCCCTGCATTTCTGGCATCAGGGGCCAGGAGCCAATCTTGTTTTATCATTAGCCACCCCTGCCTACTATCCTACCCGGCGCAGGCAGCTGGAGAAACCCCTCCTGGAGGCCTTCCATCGCAACGAGCAGTACCGGAACATTGTATGCAACTCCTTCACCACACTGTGCAATGACATCAGCCGCGCATACTCTGCAGCAGGCCAACAGGTGAGGGTGTTGAAGGGAAGTTTGGAGGATGTGATGGATTGTCCAAGGAACGGAGCATGAGACATCGGTGCTCGCAGAGAAATGGCGCAAGCATGCTGAACCGCATCGAATCGTCAATTCCCCGTCTACAAGCCATCGCCCCTCCTCCTGATATTGCCGCAGCTGGGTCATGCCAACCCAGTGGCCGCTGCGGCCACACCCAGCGGTCACGATCAGGAGGGCCTGCTGATGGACGAGGAGGGCGCCGACAGCGCGATCCCCATCCCTGCCCACTACACCCTGGCGGCTGCCCAGGCGGGGCTGGCGGAGCTGCGCGCCGCCTCCGCGGCCTGGCTGCCCCAGCTGCTGGACGGCTTTCTGGCCGCGCCGCCGGCCCAGCGCGGAACCATGCAGGCCACGCTGGGCGCGCTGGCCTGCGCGGCCGACCCCGCCGCGGTGGCGCGCCTGTTCAAGACCGTGGCCCAGCAGCTGCTAAAGGAGGCGGCGGCGGCGGCAGCGACCGGCGCTGGTACGGCAACGGAGGCCGCCGCCGCTGCCCCCGACCCCGAGCGCCGCGCCTCGCTGCTGGAACTGGCGCTGGCGCTGGCTGGCGGGCTGGACGCGCGCGGCGTGGCCTCCCTGGTCAAGCTGGCGGCGCCCGCCGCGCTGGCGCGCGACCCGGCGCTGCAGAAGAAGGGGTACAAGGTGCTGGCCTACGTCTGCGAGCGCCGTGCCGACTACCTCGCCGAGCCCGGGCGCCGCGCGGCGCTGCTGGAGCTGATCGTCGGCGGCGGCGCCGGCGCGCTCAGCGCCGCGCGGCGCTATCGCCTGCGCGGCGTGCGATGGGCGGCGCTGGAGGCCATGCGCGCCGAGGCGCGCGGCGAGGCGCGTGCGGAGACCGTGTCTGCGCTGATCGGGGAGATTGTGCTGGCGCTGAAGGAGGGCAATGCCAAGACGCGCGCCGCGGCCTTCGACCTCCTCGTCGGCCTGGCCCACGCGCTGCAGGACGCCGGGGCATCGGCCGCACTTTCCACCGCCCCCGCCGCCGGGCCCCTAGCGGCCCTGGGCGGCGTGGGCACGCTGGTCACGGTGCTGCTGGGCGGGCTGGTGGGCGCGTCGCCGCACATGGTCTCCGCCTCGGTCATGGGCCTGGCGCGGCTGCTGCACGAGTTCAGCGCGGCGCTGCTGCATCTCGTCCCCGACCTCCTCCCCGCGGTGCTCATGCTCCTGCGCTCCCGCGCGCGCGAGGTGGTCAAGTCCGTGCTGGGCTTTGTCAAGGTGGTGGCCAGCCGCCTGCCCGTGGAGGAGCTGGTGCCCCGCCTGCCCGCCATCCTGGAGGGCTGCCTGCTGTGGGCCGAGGACTCCAAGAACAAGTTCAAACTCAAGGTGCGCATGATCCTGGAGCGCCTGGCCAGGCGCTGCGGCTACGAGGCGGTGGAGCCCGCCGTGCCCGCCGCCCACAAGGCGCTGCTGACCCACATTCGCAAGGCGCACGCGCGGCACGAGCGCGGCCGCCAGGGCGGCGACGGCGGCGACGGCGACGGCGCCTCGCGGGCGGACGCCCGCTCGCGCGCCTCGGGCCGCTCCGCCTGGGATGCGGGGCGCGTGTTCAGCGCGGGCGGGACCACGGTTGGCGGGGCGCCCAGCGCCTCCTCGCGCCGCGGCGGCGCCGAGGGAGGAGCGATCGCTCCATCACGCAGGCGCGGAGCAGCCGCCGCCGCCGACCCGCTGGACCTGCAGGACGCGGCGCGGGGCGAGAGCTCATGCGCTCCGCGGCCGTGTCGGCCGGTGGGCGCCGCGCGCGTGGCGGCGCGGACGACGACGGGGACGACGAGGACGACTTCCCGCGCGACGGCGGCGGGCGCATGGTCGTGCACGACCCCGAGGCCGGCGGCGCGGGCCGGAAGCGGCGCCGCGCCAGCGAGCACTTCGACTCCGACGACTCCGACTTCGAGGACCTGCGCGGCTTCAGCGGGCTGGACCTGGCGCTGAAGGGCGCGCAGTCCGTGGCGCGCGCGCCCTCGCTGGCCGCCAGCATCGGCGGGCGCAGCGCCGCCGCGCGGTCGGCCGGCGGCGCCTCCGCCAGGAGCGCGCGCGGGCGGGGCGCGGGCGGGGCGCGCCGCGCACAGCACACGGGCGAGCGCTTCAAGTCGGCCAAGGCGGGCGGGGACGTGAGCAAGGGGCGCACCGAGCCCTACGCCTACTGGCCCCTCGACCGGCGGCTGATGAATCGCCGGGCGCACAAGGCCAAGGGGGCCAAGCAGGGTCTGGACGCCGTGGTCAACGCGGGGCGGCGGGGCCCAAAGAGGACCAAGACGGCGCGCGACTGAGGAGGGGGTAGGAAGGCCTGGACCGGCTTGCGTCACGCAGGCAGCCCATCTCCGATCCCAATCCGGTGGCCAGAGCGGCCGGCTCAGCAAGGCGCCGGGAGACCCTGTAAGATATCTGTTCCGAGTGACACTGTGTGGTGTATACAAACACTCAATCCTGAGGCTCAGAGCACAAGGGGCCTTCGGCCTGCAGCAGGGGGTGACATGCCTGGACAGGCATGGCCCCGTCACGGCCAGAAGATACCCTCGCGCCCAAACATCTCTGGCTCGCAGAGCGCGGTCGCTCACGGCGAACCAGGGCCGTGCATGCCCTGTGTGACATTGCGTACCTATTCTTCACGCCGACCTCGTGATTTCTGCCTGTAATCCTATGCATTCCTGTGGTGCCTGAGACGCGCAGGCCCTGCCAGCTTCTCCGCCACACTTCCACCCGAACCCGGACGCTCCGAGACGCATCCCCCGATCAGCCCCAGGGATGATTCAGGAAATGATCCAAGCCCTAACCCCCATCGACCATGCGTAGGAGCGCCAGTCGACTGCTGCAGCTCACAAAGTTCCTCGAGGCGGAAACCGCAGTCATGACACCCGCCCTGGGCTTGGGCAGGTGCGCGAGGCCCGCAGGCCCCCCGCACCTGGGCCCCCGGGCTTCCTTCTCTAGTCTCATACATAGACCACCCGCTCAGCCTGGGACGACGGGGCGACTCCTCCCCACCCGCCAGATGCCAGGCTTCCAGCGCTTGCCGTGCCGCGTGGCCTGCTCCACCTCCTCCTCTGCCGCCGCGTTCCCGCCGCCCAACCGCAACCTGACCTCCTCGGCATCCAGCTGGTGGACGTCCCTCAAGTCCAGGGAGGAGGAGGACAGCCTGGACACGCGGGTGGCCCCCGAGGCCCCGCCCTCGACGGGCCCGACGGAGGCACACAAGCGCGAAATGCACGCTGTGAACGTGGCGGTGGCCGTCAACATCACCATCATGATCGCCAAGCTTGGCGCCTGGTTCGTCACCTCCAGCGGGTACGGGGGGAAGCGGGGCTGGAGCTTTTGTGGGCAAGGTCTGCTCATCATGCCCAATGAACAGGAGAGCCTCGGGCACACATGCTTGTGGGCCCTCACAGGTGCATGCTCAATGAGAGCTTGGTGCTGTATGAGTGGATTGCAAGGAGCAGGCTGCCCCTGCTGCCCCAGCGCCTGCCACGCTATCTGTGCAGTTGGGCAGATTACGAATTCCTCGCCTTCCACCTCCCACCGACCTGCAGCGCACTGCTGGCTGAGACCATGCACAGCATGGCCGACGTCATGAATCAGCTGCTGCTCCGAGCGGGGCTGCACCTCTCGCGCCGAGCGCCCACGAAGCAGCACCCCTACGGCTTCCACAAGGAGAAGTACATCTACGCCCTCATGTCGGCGGTGGGAATCTTCTGCCTGGGGGCTGGGGCGGCGGTGGTTCACGGCATCCAGTCCCTCTTCGATCCGCCGCAGCTGGAAAACATGGTGTGGAGTCTGGGAGGTGAGGAAGCTTGGTTGGTGTGGTGGGGAGGACATGTGGGACTGGATTGCCTTGCTGGGGATGAGAAGGGAGAGCGGTGGTGAGCGCCCAAAAAGTCGGGGAGGTATTGGGCCTATGGTCACATGTAGCTGGGTAGCCAGCGGCTATCAGAGGCAGGGGGACGCATGCTGTATCGCCATGTATCAGTATGCCATTGGATTTGCTGACATTTGTACATGCCCCCCCCCTCCCACCCATATGATGCCATGTAGTGCTGGCGGCGTCATGCGCAGCGGAGGTGTACTCCCTCAGGATCGCCCTCCAGAACATCCGCATCGGGGCCAAGGAGCAGGGCCAGACCTTTTGGGGCTTTTTGAGGAGGGGCAGGGACCCCACCACCGCGGCCGTATTCGCGGAGGATGCGGGGGCGGTGGCTGGCCTGGTGATCGCAGGTCGGTGCCCAGGCCGGGGTTAGGGAGGTGGTGGTACAGTCATGAATCGTTGTTGCTGGTCGTCGTGGAGGTTAACAGGCAGGTGTAAGGGGATGCTGAACAGTGCATGTGGCCCAGCAGCTGCTATCCTCCATTGAGCGACACCTCTGACCTAGACTCACCCTGTGGTACCATCCTTGTTTCTCGCCCTTCCCCGCCATGATCCGTGCAGGTACGGCCACATACTGCTCCTGGGTCACGGGCCTGGCCTACTACGACGCCATTGGCTCCATCTCCGTGGGCCTGCTCATGGGCGGCATTGCCATGGCCCTCATCCGCAACAACATGCGCTTCCTCAGGGGTAGGCAGCGACGGTGCGGTTGGGTCTGACGCGGGAGGCTCTTGGCTCGGAACCTCAATGAGTCCTGCCATCAGTTGTCGCGCCGTTTACCCGAGCACACAAGTCGCTGCCGACCCGCCGTCCAATGCCACCGCACCTGTGCAGGCCAGGCCATGGACCCGGAGACACATGGGCGCATCGTGAAGCACCTGGTGGAGGACCCCGTAGTCCTCAACGTCATCGACCCCAAGTCGGAGGAGATGGGGGACGGCGTGTACCGCTTCAAGGCCGAGATCCGTGAGTCGGCTGGTGTTTGAACTGGTTGATGCCAATGCAGGAGATGGAGAGGCTGGGAAGAGGGGTGGCCTGTGGATGGGGAAGTGCTGCCGCCTGATGAGGGTCACAGCTCCGCTCGACGCTGAGCCAGGAGCTCCTCGCGGGATCCACCGGCGCCAGACCCTGTCTGCTCGGTGCTCTTCCCTCGTACTGCATCCGACCAGCTTACCGATCCCGTCACACCTGCGATCCTCCCCGCGCTGCAGAGTGGTCGGGGGACATCATCGTCAGGCGGTACCTGCGGGAGCATGGCCGGGCCAAGGTCTATGACGGCATCCGGGCCCAGGCCTGCAGCCTGGAGGACAAGGAGGGCCGGACGGCTCTGGAGGAGGACATGGACCAGGCCATGATGTCGTTCGGTGCGCGGGTGCAGGCTTGGATGTGGGAGGAGAGAGCGAAGGCCAGTGGTTTGGTGCCGCGTCGCGGCAGTGGCCGGGAGGTCTCCTACGTGCTGCAGGGTGGCCGCTCGGCGCCTGCGGCTCGGCATGCAGGGCTCGGAGCTGCACTGCAGGCGGTCCTCCCCACCCCAAGCAACCCACCCCTCTCACCTTCACACCACCTCAGGGCGCGGCGTCATTCGCACCGTGGGCGAGGAGATTGACCGGCTGGAGAGCGAGCTCAAGGCCATGGTCCCGGGCCTGGTGTATGTCGACCTGGAGACCGACAAGGGACGGGCCGAGAAGGCCATGGCACAGGCCTCCATCGCCGTGATGGCCCCGCTGAGCACCGTGCTGCGCCCCACAGACCCTGAGGCGCCGTGAGCAGGGGGAGGAAAGCGCGGCCACAGGTGTCTGATGAGCAGGCGAAGGAGGGGCGGCGCGACATCGAGGGGGTGGGATGCGCCGGAGGGCGACCGGCGATGACGACGGCCCGGTGAGGCTGTGCAAGGGAGCACCCTCCCCCCTCCCCAACACTTTCCTTTTGCTCAGCAACCACCGATTTTGCCCAACCACTTCTGGCATACGGCATGAATCCCACTTTTGCACTGCACACTGGTAGACACAGGGACGACGGCCTGGGCACGGGCAGAGCATCAGGCAGGACTCCCCAGCACTCAGCGCAGGGAGCTGTAGAAGAGGATGGCGATGGCCGCCACGGCGATCAGCACGGGCGCGATGGAGACGAGGTACAGCGCGCTGTACCCCACCCAGTCGGGCAACAGGTCCAGCGGGCCGGCAGCTTCCTGGGAGGTGCCGCGGCCAACGGGCGGCCTGGGGCTGGGCGAGGTGCGCCACGCCGCGGCTGCCTCCTCCGCCGCCGGGGTCATCTGGGGCCGCAGGTCCTCCGTCGTCACCTTGCCTGTCCCGTGGATGGGAGAGGGGGTGGCACCGTGAGGGTGCATGGGACGTGGGAGGATCACATCTCCTTTGCTTGATCAAGGAACGAGGGGGGGGCCCAGGATGGGGCACACCCCAGATGTAGCCACACCATGCAGGGCAAACTCGTCACCTCCCGCACACCGGGAGTAGCATCCTCGTCCAGCCCTGGCCAGGTCGTCATCTCCCGGTGCAGCTCCTGCAGCACCCTGAAGTCGCTGGGGACCTTGCCCTCTGAAATTTCCACCAGCGCAGCGGCCAACTCCTCGCGCGACACGCCGCTGCTATCCTAGAAAATGGGGCGGTCATGATTGCGGCAGGGAGGGGGTTGGGGGGAGGTGGCGCATGGCGTCGCTGAACGGAGCAGGCCATCGGTGGGAGGCTCTGGGCGACTTCCATTGTGCCGCAAAGGTGTAGGAATTGGTTGCACCACCAAACACAAGGGTGTCCGCCCCACTCAAACACCTGCCTCTCGCACCTCCATCCCCATCAAGCGACGCTCCCTCGCCCTCGGATCCTCAACCGCCACCGTCAACCTGACTTCTGTGAGGGACATATCGCGCTCTTTCTTCAATCGCCTCAGCACATCCACAATGTCCTGGCAGAACTGCGCAGCTGTCTGCAAAGTTGTTTCAGAGATGGGAGCAAGTTGAAAACTACGATAGCACCAGCCCAGAGGCTGCCAAAACGAATGACAAAGAACATCGCCCCCCAAACTCCACGGCCAAGAGCTTTGACTTCAACCCCTCCTGGCCAGCGTGCCTTCTTGGGGACCTTCTCCTGCACAGGTGGCCCTGTGGATGTCGCTGCGGAAGGGGCTTGAGCGAGGCCGCCCTCCTTTGCTGCCTGCTCCTGCATAAACTTCTCAAGCTGCTTCTCCAGCTCCTCATCGGAGAGCTCGGACACAGGGTCCTGCGTGGATCTGTGCGCGCATCGCGGACATGACAGGGCATGGGTTCTCATCAGGGACGTCCAGTCCATGGAGTTTTGCATGCACCTACATATGAGTCGGACCGGGCGCCGCTCCTCTTACCGACACAATGTGAATTTAATGGACGTCCTCGTTCCATTACGAGTCGTGCGCGGCCTTGTGAGTTGTGTTGACTGTCGCAAGCCCTGTCGTTGCATGGGAGCGACCAGGGGGTAAGGGCACCTGGCCACCCCGCCCATCGTCACTGTTGTTCTCAGCAGAACCATGGCGTCACGTTGAGGAACCTTCAAGAAACGAACTCTGTAGTCGATGCTGTTTACCGACAACATATGCATGCGTCTGGCGTCATGATGTGGATTCCGTTGCATGCGGAGAGTGATCAGATCGAAGATATCTTGCAGTTTTCTTGCCCCGGTTGCAGAGGACTGGTGTCACACCTGCAAACTCCTCTGCACGACCCAGAGAACATTACTCTGCAATGTTGCCATTTATACGGATGTCATAGTTTTGATCATACCGCATTGTTCGAGAAGTAACTGAATGCAGTGAGACGAGCGACTGCTTGCTGCATGTGTATCTGCTGTGAACCTTGCCCATGCTGTAGAGGCATCCTGAAGCCACTCTGAGCATCATGGTGATAGCTTTTAAAAGATGTATTTCCCTTATCAGAAGCTAAGCGATTGTCAGAAGCTCACGATACGTGTGGATTTTCAGGGGCCCGGATGTGCATTCAATGAGGTCGCCAAGTTGGATGGACAGGGAACGTAATGCCTGAGGAAGCCTGAGAATTCGTCGTAGTAATGTTGATCATTTTGAGGGTGATCGCTCGTTTGGGTGGAAGACGCGGTTCGTCGTCGTTCATGAGGAACAAATGGACATGCATGCCACGATGCAGTGTGCATTCCGTGTGTTGCCTGAAGTGCCTGGGTTGGCTGCAATGGAGCCTCAAAGATGAGTTGGTAGTAAATCCTGACGAAGGACAGCAACAGGAGGAGATTGACTCGCTGGCTGGGATCTAGAGCTCCACTGCTGACGCTTTGGCCATGGCCAGCACTTCAGGCAGCACCTCGTCTACAGATCCTGCTGGGACGGGGAAGACGCCTTCCAGGGAGTCACCCGCATCACCGCCACCACCATCTCTGGGCATCCTGCGAGGGAGGGTTGATAGGCATTTGCATGATGGGATGGCTCCACGAGCATCCGGCTTGAGAAGCAGCCGATGCTGGTCTTGGAGTGGTTAAACTGGGTGTGCACATCTCCCAAATGGAGGTTGTCGACCTGAAATATGTTGATGCAGAGCCGCCACCGCGCACCAGACAAGGCACACCTGATGTCATGGCAGGAAGAGGCCGGAAGGGCCCTCCCACGTTCCTCTAACCCCTGTTGGATGTGTGGGTTGATGGTGTGAGTTGTGCGCCTCACCGTCATCAGGAGCAGACCTGTTCGCTTGTACGTGCCAAGGCAGGAGTATGCTGACCCAGGCCCACCTGCTCTAGGGCACGAATGCTGTCCAGGATATGCATTACTCGCTGCTGATGGGCCAGGTCTGATCCCAGGTCCATTGATTCTGGTGAAATGATCATGCCATCACAATGGTCTCCATCAACATCCATCTGTGGGATCTCATAAAAAGGTGTTTGAGCACCCGGTGCACTGTCTACCAATGCAGAAAGGCATGAGGACGTCCGCACAGCATATGTGCAGGCTGGAGCTCGCCGCTCATGAGAATCATGCAGCCAAGACAAGCTGCGTCGTCCCGCATGCCCTCCCCTCCTATGATACATTGCAAATCGCCTGAACTCACTCCTGTGTGAGATTCAAGGTCGGGCATTCCTCCGACATCATCATCCGAGTAGCAGGCGGTGAAGTTTGGGTCGAAGATGCGCCGCATCTTGTTCATGCTCATCAGGTAGAGGTCGTGCTCCTCGGCTGACAAGGGCGGAGGAGTGGTCATCCAGGGGGAGCGTGAGAAAGGTGTGTACTGAGAGATCTGGTGAGAAAGGACTTCAGCATGCAGAAACTACACGAGGCCCAAACACGAAGCCACGCACGGTCTTCATAGCTGCCCAGGCGATCATGGAAGTGAGGCCACTCTTTGAAGAACCAGGCACGGAGTTGCTGTGTGCAGGGTGTGGTGGGGGAGGGTTTGGGCTTGGCAGGGAGCAGGAAGGAAGGGAGCCGGGAGCCAGCATCTGTAACGGAATGTCAGGACCCTCCTTCCAGTTCAGTCGGACCAAAAGCAACATATGACAACAGGCCATGAGCTGACGCACACCTTGAAGCGATCAATCACATCCGTGCCATCTTCCACGCCGTCGTCTTCCTCACAAGACTGCAGGGCGCCACCCGTCCCTGCATGATAAGGTGGTGGGCAGAGTTGTGGCAATGTGGGTCAGCTTGCTCTGAGTCAAGCATGAGGCTCGCAGCGATGCGCAGTGTTTTCTTCCGATGGCAAGCACCAGGCCCACCCTCCCAATCTCATAAGTCAGTTGGCCTTGATTCACCAGAAAGTGCTCCGTGGAGTCTAATCAGAGTGCTGTTGTACCTCTCCAGGAAGGCGTAAGGCACTCCTGTGACAGAATGTGAAGTGACGTCAGGTGACTGCATGCTAGGTCAGGTGAAGCACACCTGTGTTACATGCAGGTGCTGTCATCCTTTGTTACCTGCTGGAGAAGTGTTCTCGGACCCCTCTTGGACATCTTTGGCCTGCAGCTCAGAAGAGGCGTGGTTAGATAAAGGATATGGACTGGTCATTATAGTAGTGCTTGAGCAAAACTCGCCATTTATCGGCATGACTGCTGAAGTCAGGGTGTGCCACCATGCCAGTGTTTGGTAGCTGCACTCACAACGGATGGGAATTCATCAAGGGAGATGTCGTCGTCCACCAATATCTGCAATGTGTGAGGGAACATTAACCAGGCATGCATGCTCCACGTTTTTGTCCAAGGATGCAAGACAAAGACTCTAAAACAGTCTGCGCATGCAAGTACATAGCAGCAAGAAGACTGAAGCATGGATGAAGCGCTTACCTGGGAGTTCCAGAATTCGAGATCCAGGATGGTGGTTGGGGACAAGACATCTGGCGTGACCACATCTGGTTGATCTTGCACATCCGTAGACAAGTCTGCCCTCAGACCTCCCTACATCCATGGAGAAGCTTGTAGTATACAATGCAGTATTATTGGTGTACTCACTTTAGGGCTGCGTCTCCCTGGCCAGAACATACATACCTTAGATTCATTGAGGTTGACTGCACTCCTGGGCGTCGCCTTACGTTCAGGGGCGGGGAGGCATGGGACTACTTGTTTGGCAGGAAGGGCACCTGCATGTAATGGTTGGGAGGGGGGGTCCAGAGGCGTATATCTGGTAACTGGAAATAAGATCGTACCCGCGCTCACGTTTGTAACAACCACTGCACCTGCCAGTGACTCATTCAATCTGGACACTGGAGATGAGGATGCCAACCCTGAGAAAGAGCCGTGCGGTGGCAGCTCCCAGACCGAGGATGGATACTTCTGTCTATTTGAGGCTAGGAACTGGAGTGTATCATCTGAGACCTCCAAAACTGCAAGGATGGAAGAGAAAGTGGATTATCCGTGGCATGCAGACAGCAAAGGAGCACCGCAGCATGGATTTGCTCAATGAGGTCCTTGCCTTGTTGCTTCAGTGATCTGCAGATGTCGACGACATTTGAATTTGCAGCTGTATGGAGCATGAGTAGTTTCTGCACATTGACAGCCTTGATCTGTGAAAGTGCTTCCCATGTGAAGTTGCGCCGAGCATTCCTACGGTGTAGGGGATTGTTGATGAGAGACCAGTAGCAGCGACACTTGGCTTCTATCATGAAAGGTTGTGAGTCTCACCTGCCGAATTTCAAGGTGAGCATCAGATCGGCGTGAAGTGCAGCTTGCAACTCCTCAGGGAAACAATGGCGTTCACGCCCGGCTCCTAAAAATCGTAGTTTTGCTCGAAAAACGTTCCCCTGCAGCAGGAGAATGCACCTGATTATTGCAAAGATTCTGTGATACCTCTTGCCACACCTTCACACGAATTAATGCGCATGACGCCTACCGTAAACTCGACATTGTTGAAGCTGGAAGCCCCTGTGACCACTTGAATTGCCTGCAGCTCCTCGACAACCTGCTGATCCATCATGTTACTGAGATCAAGAGCCGCTTCGACATGGCAATGGACTCTTACCGAATACTGTCCATATGTGTCCCACGCAATTGACCACTGGTTCTTTATACCTGAATGTCTCACCTGCTCGAAGGTCAGGCGATTGAGGTAATCTTGCACCTCAGGGCCCATGTGCTCTGGGAGGTTGACCCCCTCGACCGTTTTGGATCTCCGGTAGTATGCTCTGTGCACACAAAAGATGGAAATTTGAAAAGGCACGGCAAGCAGGCAATGTTGATCCCATATGCCATGATCGTGCAGAAAACCGAAGATTGCCAACCATTGCACCTGTCATATGCATGAGCAGCAGCCTCTTGTGAGGGGTGGGCTCCAAGTGGGACTCTGACTTTCTTGTCGTTCAGCGAGTACGCAAGTCTGACCTGCCACGTCCTGCCGCCGTTCCGTGAGCGGACTCCTTTGTACGTCGATGTGATCGAGTCTCCCATGTTCACAAATCTCAAGCGAGGCCTGATCGGGTGTATTTTTCCGCGCCGTCTTAGCACTAGAGGCTTTGCAGTATCCTCTAGCAATCACATTACATGGCAATTTCTCATCACCGCGCTTGCTATCAGCTCCAGCGGAGTCCTCAGCAGTGCGACAGGGCATTCAAACACCTGCGGCAAAGACCCCACTCTTTCCACTTCATTGACAGTGACTATACGAGTAACAATGGCAATTTGTACATTCGACCGAGCTGAACAAGCTCTGGTTGCTATTCAATGGATTCAGGTGGAAGTTGCGGGTTCGAGTCCCGTCGTCGGCGTGTCTCCTCACTGCTGACGTGGCGCAATGGATAGCGTGCCACCCTCCGGCAACACTTCTTTTGGTGTTTTGCCGGAATTCATACGCCCCTTTGCGCCCCAACCTTGGTGTGAAACCGCGCCCATGCTCTGGCTCGCCCGACTCAGCACCCTACTCCACGTCTACATCGGGCGGCGGGGGCTGGTCCCCGCCCGCGGCAGCGCACCTCGCCACGCCCGGCCCCACGCCGAAGCGCGCGCGCCCCGTGGCGTACAACCCCCCGTCCCGCTCTGCCGCGCGCGCACCGCAGGGTCCCAGACGGCCTGCGCCCGCGTCATGGCCGCCAGCAGGTCCAGCACCCCGCCCGCCACGGCGGCGCCCCGCGGCTCCAGCACACGCAGCGCGGCGGCCACCGCCTCGCAGGTGGTGGTGCACCCCCGCGCGGGCTCCATCTTCAGTCGCGCGCTCGGGTCGCCGATGGCCTCGGGGGCCAGGCACACCGCCGTTCCAGGAGGCACGAGGTGGGCCTGGCTGGCGCCCCACATCTCCCGCGCCTGCTGCCAGGTCCCGTCCAGCGCCAGCAGCGTGTAGGCCCCCCTCTGACCCAGGCGCAGCGAGTGCAGGGGCCCCTCCAGCTCGGTTTCATTCGACACGCCTCCTTGCCGCGCCGCCAGGCCCGGCGCGACGTGTGCGCCGTCCAGTCGAGCGGCCCCGGGGGCGGGGAACAGGACCAGGAGGGGAGTGAGGCCATCCCTGGCGGCCTGGATGGCCTCAGTCAGGATGCCGTGCTCCGAAGGCTGCGGATGAGCAGAGGTGTTGGTCGATGAGGTGAAAAGGTGGTGTGGCGTGAGTCGTGCGCCAGGTGTTGAGGCGTATACATGTGTCTCGCATGAGTCAGGACGGGGCGTCTCAGATCCCCCTCAACCGGTACAGACAAGCTGGCTGGAGAGTGCATTATTTCTGGGAGCATGAAGCCGCCAACATCAGAGCCCTCCCTAGCTTGGCAGCCTGAGCAGGCACCAGCATCTCGCATCACCTTGTACTTCCGTCCAGTCAGCACGTGGATGTCCTGCAGGCACAAGCGTAGCAGGGACACCGTGCCCAGCGGCTTCCTGCACCCGAGGATTGGGACTGAGTGAGGGCCGTGCATGTGTTGTCCATATGTAGAATTTCCCAGCACAGCTGGGGTCGGCACAGGCCTGATGGTATCCTCACCTGGCCTCATATGGGTGCTGGAGCACGATGACCTTCCCTTCCGTGCAGAACTTTTCCTTGGGGACGCTGGCACACAGGCAAACCCTGGCTGGGCGGCTGAAGAGGAGGAAGAACGGGAGCGCTGCTGAGGTACCTGTCCTGGTCTGAGCTTCACAACCATCAGCATCTGAACAAGATTGTCTCTCTGTTCTCTACCCTCACAGAGTCACAAATGCAGTTCATGCCTGACCTGCAGCTCTGACACGTTGCCCGCTTGGAGGTGGGTGCTGGGCTCGGCTGAACTGCGGGGCCCTCTGCGCGGATGCTCGTGTTGCTCAAAGGCAGCAACGGCATTGTTTGGGTATTGAGGCTTAGCAAGCTTGTCTATTTCTGGGTAGTGCTGCTCGTGGTACTCAAATGCTCCCCCTCATTCACGTTTCGAGCCGTGCTGCGCGCACAGCAGATTTCGGCGCGCGATCGGAACCACAGGAACTTGATCCGGTCAACCACCTACATACCTTTCGATCTACAACATTCCTTCGACCACCTCCCTGGTCTCCGCAACAAGCTGAACCAGTAACACGCTGGGAGAAAGTCGTGGCTGAAGGGGGTTACTTCAAGAGAACCTGGTGGGTCTCGGAGTGGGAGCGTGCGCTCCTCATCGCTGGGGAGGCGCCCGGCAGAAGTCGAGCCATCTTTAGAAGCTAGAGCTTCTCTTCTGATGTTGCGGCTCAGGGAGGCCTGCCGTTATGGCCTAGCTTCAGGTAACGTGAATCCCAGGTGTCCCATGAGGAACAGCTTAGCTTCAGCCTATCACAGAGACGAAGCACCATGGCAAGGGTTCGATGTATGCGACGCATTGTGTTGTCGTGGCACCGCAATGGAGCTTTCAACAATCTCGAGACCTGTTTGTGGCTGTATCCCTGTCCTTCACCATCACATCAGGACCGTTGCACGCAGGGACTCGAATTCCATTCAGCATCCACAATGTGCTGCTTGGATCGTGGTCAGGGAGGAGAGAGGCGTGTAACTCGAGGCTCGACAGTCCCAAACCCACCACGGTGAGCCAGGGATTGCTGGCTTGGACTGTGACTTTAGGACATTGGAATTAGTCTGGCAAGTTGACAATGTCCCTGGTTGGCGGGTGTCTTATTTGAATGTTGAGCATGACCATGCAGGTGGTAATCGAGTACGGCAAGGGCGATGTCAACCAGTTCCTCGCCCTGGCAGACGAGATTGAGGATGCCTTCCCTAAATTGGTGGTAGAAGGCCAAGAGGTATGCGGTCTGGCTCAAGTGCTGTGTGCCCTTTATTGCATGTCGCTCTGCGCCAACCAGCCATTATACCCCTAGAGTCCACACCTCACCGACTGTGCAGAACTTGGAGCTTCAGAAGACTCTCAGCGTGGCACTAGAGGGGGAAGCAAGCATCTGGCAGGCGCCGCTGCCAATTCCAGATGCATCTGACTTGCTCAAAGTGCTGCAGGCAGAGCTGGAAAAGCCCCTGCCGTCTGCCGGCGACACGAGCGCTTGGACTGAAAGCTGGTACTGAACCCCTTTTCTTTGGGAACCAAGCTACTGCTCCGTTTATTGCCGAGAGGCCACCGATCCGACGAATCTACCTCACTTTACGAAAGCTTCAGCATTTCACCATGTACCTGAGAAGTTTACTGTGCCTGTGACGCACACGGGAATTGTTGCACATCAAGACGCCTCCCACTGATCTGTTTCGACTGCTGTAAAGTCATGTGTGACAGCCTGCACCCCGAACAAGTGTACGGGTGAAAGCTTCTGTGGCCTCGAGCAAAGCATGATGCGCAATCGCGCGCGCGCCCGTCGAGCCTCGAGCTCGTCGGATCATCGGGAAGTCGACCATCATCGGGACATCGCCTCCATTCGAGCACGACATTCGAGCAGAACTAGGGGAATCGAACACTTGCAAGCAACGGGGGCATGGGGCATACTAAAACGCCGGGCGACGGGATGGAACTCACAATTCTCATTTTGCCTACCCTGCCCATACGAAGCTGCCCCACCTCCGCACCACCAGGGCCCTCTTCACACCCCGCACACACAACACATCCACCATGAAGATGGCACGAGGTGCTCTGTTCGTGCTCTTCGCCTCAATGCTGGTGGCGTCCGCAGTGTCTCGTAAGTTGCAGCAGTGAGGGGGACACTTATGCTCGCCGGCCAGCGTGCTTGCACGTATGCTGCTGCTCCTTTGCTTCGACCCACATGACCTATAGAACTTGCACCCCCTCATGCTCTGCCATCCTCTTGCTCTCCCAGGCAAGCTCCTCGCCGACGGCGAGGGCCCAAAGGGTGTCGTCGACACCATTGCGAAGCACACTTTCCACGGCGAGCTGTCCGACTCGCTCGATGCCTTCATCGGCAACCTGTCTGAGGAGTTCCAGGGCTTCATCGGTGAGCATGAGGCCAGTGAGCATGGGCTTCGGGGCCGTGCTGGGGTCTGCTCCGACCCGCCAGCGCGGTCGTGCTCGCCGAGCGAGGTGTCGGCATTCTATTCCATGCACTCACGATCTGCCCTCCCACTCCCGTCGCAGACTCTCTCCATGATGGCCACAAGGACTTCTTCAAGTTCAAGAAGGGCAAGAAGCCCATCTTCACCCTGGACCCCCCGGAGGTCGAGGGCCCGGCCGCCGAGTTCGACGACTAGATGCGAGATGCGAGACCCTGAGTGGCGTGGCCCCCGGATCAGCCTGGAGCTGAGTTTCACCGGGACAAGCCCCCCCAACCTACCCTCCGCAGCTTCGCATCGTGCCTTTCATTTCCTCGCATTTAGTCACCCTGTCTCTGTTCCCCTTTGATGATTGGCTCCAGCACAGCACCCTTCCCAGAATGCATGGCGCTCTAGCACACCTGCTGCTACAGATATTTGGGGCCCGATGTCCTGGTGATTGATTCCTGGCTGATCATGGCTACCCTGAACATGTGTAACATGGCGCTGGTACTACTCTTATACAGTTGGGACCGAGGAAAAGAGAGGATGGGGGCTCGGTATGATCCTGTGTGCTTGTCGACTTCCTCTGCAACGGCATCCAGGATGTCCCTGTCATAGGGCCGCAACCGTTTGGCATGCACCACATGACGTTGGGGCTTTACCATGTTTGTGTCCAATGCCACCTAACGATCCGCACATTGACCTGCTTGAGATGGCTCCAGAGAGAATCTTGTGGAGTACCTGTAGTGTGCATGCATCCTGTCTTTCCAGCATCTACCTGCCCCGCCAGCTGCCCCTGCTCTGGGTCAAAGCAGCGGAAGTGCCAGAAGCCAGACGCTATGACGTCCCTGGCATGCCTGCGCCCAGCACTGCCCAGCCTTGCAGACCCTCCAACAGCGTGCATTACCCCGGAGTGCTTTCCCAGGCGCTGTGACCTTGCTTCCATTGCTACCCATCTCGTCCTCGTCGCCCCTGCCTTCTTGGGTTGTCCCACGCCTCTGGCTCCCCAGACCCCGACCCCAAGGCCTCTCCCCGTCGCCTGAGGACCTCCATGAGGACTCCACCCCGCTACCACTCCTTGCCCCCCCCCACTGCCTCCCCCGTGCCGACCAGAGCGTCCTGCGTTACAGGACACACGCGGAGCACAGGCCCCGCCGCCATCGCCCTACTCGTCGGCGGCGGTCAGCTCCGCCAGCTTGGCCTTCAGCTTCTCCTTGCGCGCCTCGTACGTCAGCTTGGACTCCTTCCAGGCCTTCTTGTCGGCGGGCGCCTTGCGCTCCTTCCGCTTCTGCACCGGGTCGGCGCGGATGGCTGCGTGCACCGAGGTGTACAGCTCCTCCAGCCCCTCGGCCTCCAGCCCGGCCTTGACGTAGCGCGAGAAGTGGCGCTCGTACTTCTCCGGCTCCTCCTCCTTCAGCGACTCCATGTACTCCGCCACATGGCCTCCCAGGATGTACTTGCGCAGGACCTCGGAGTCCAGCTCCTTGGTCTCACGCGAGTAGCCGACGAAGCGCTTGTCGGAGTGGGGCACGTCCAGGCCGCCGTCCAGGGCGCCCTTCAGCGCGGCAAAGACCTTGGACCCGGTGCTGGTGCGCTTGAGGCCCGTGTCCAGCAGCGCGACGAAGGGGCGTGGGCCCTCGTCCGCGGCGTCCACGTTGTAGTCCTCGCCCACATCCCCTGTGTTGCCCTCATACGCCTTATCCAGCCCAAACTTGGTCAGCACGCGGCGGGCCAGCAGGAGGCCCGTGGCGTAGGCGGCCGCGTAGTTGGTCAGGCCCGTGGTCAGGCCGTAGGCGGGCAGCTCGTGGGAGTAGGCGGAGGAGACCACGACGTCGCCGGCCAGCGTGGCGTACGCGATCTGGCAGATGACGTCGGAGTTGGTGAAGCGCACGACAAACCTGGGCGCGAGTGGGGGAGGGGGGGGCAGAGGGTGATTTGGGCAGGTGTGGAGGGGAGGGGGGTGCTTGGGCAGCAGGGGGGAAGACTGACGCATCCCTTGATTCCAGGTGACAGGGTCGGCCAGCCGTCATCCCACCGACCTGTACTTGGGGGTGTTGTACTTGTTCTTGTCCTGGGTGGTCAGCCTCAGGCGGGCGCGGTAGTCGGTCTTTCCCTCACGCCTCCGGCGGTACTTGACCTGCGGGAGGGGGCAGCAGGGTGGCATGCTGGGCCAAGGGTGGACTCCCCACGGGAAGACCCAGCGAGAGACACCGCTGCCCAGGCAGCAGCCTGCGGCCGTGCGGCATCGCGGTGGCAACGACCACGCTATTCATAGTAGTCTAGCCATGCCCTTGAACGCCCGCCGCACGGGTGCATGTGTTCTTAGGAATGAATGCCCCGCGCTAGGCGCCGGGATACCTCCGGCCCCACCCCCAGAGCACGAGGCCGGTCTGCGCACCTGGTACCGGGAGTAGTAGGCGGAGTTCTTCACCACCTGTGTCGAGAAGGGGGAGGGGATGGGGAGTTAGCGAACGTTCTGCTGCTGTCGAGCCAGGCAGGCCTGTGCCGCAAGTCCGATGGCGGGCACACCTTGACGGCCGGCATCTTGCAAAGAGCCCTCAGGCCAGGTTCCTACAGTCTGCCTCGCGTGTGCGGGCCAAAGAGGGTTGGTGCGCCGGGCCACGGGCGTAAACACCACGCCCGGGTGGCATCGGGGCGGCTTGGGCAGACCTCAGTCGACCCGGGAACCTACCTTTACAGCGACAACACAGCATGCGACGCTCAAGGGCGCGAGAAGGTGTGATGCTCAGGGGTCCTTGGGACAGTGCAGTCCGCAAGACAAACTGGGAACTTGTATCCAGCATGTGAAGGGTCTGCCTGAGTGGAAGACCAAGCTTTCCCTGCTTGGTCCTTGGTGCTCGTGTTGGAGAGCCTCGGCCTGTCACTTCTGTGCAGAGCTGACAGTATAGTGCGATGTGTGCAGTCGTTTATCCTTTTTCAAGAGGCGGTAAGAATGACCATCAGACCTGCGGCCCCAGCACTGATAGGACGGTTACGTCGGCCGTGACCAGCAGCTCTGAACCCAGACCAGCTCTGAAGCTGGTGAGCGATTTGCCACATACATCAGCACAATCGAATCCAGAAATAGTGTTGGCAGGAATTGCTTGACAAGAGTCTTCGTACATGCCGGAGGCTGACTATCTTTCTAACCTCCAAGTGCCAATGCGCCAACTAGAGGACACCGGGTGCACCTCTAGATGTTGAGGTGATGAAGGGGCTTGGCATGACAGGAGGAGTGACGAAATTACGAGGGATTGGAAGTGCTACACTTGAGCAAGCTGGCTCGACACCGCAAGCAGTCACGCAGTTGTGCAATGTCTTAACAGGAGCACACACTGACACTTTCCAGTGATCAATCAGGCAAAGTGCCTTCACAAAACAATGCAGCATAAAATATCATCGTTTGTAGCGTCTCATCGCCGCCATGTGTCAGCTCTGGGGACACAGTCACCATCCTGTAGCCCTCTGAGCGTGCACTCCAGAGGCTCGTCAGCAGCCTCTGATGAGGTGGAAGAGGCACTTGTCGGGCTGTGCACGACCCAGCATAGCAGGCCTTTCATCAGCTGATCAATAGCTCCTCTCCTGGTACCTGTGAAGATTGTCCATCAGAATCAGTTCGGATGGGGTGCTGCTGCACATGCGAATGCCCCTGCGCCCCATGCACGTGATAAATTTCCCGGGTCGCACGCATCGGGGTCCCCCTCCATGATGGATAGGCTTCAGCAACGCCCATCAGGTCACCATTCCTCGGTCCATCTCCCCCCACCCTCCATCCAACCATCGTCGACGGCATGCAGGCGCTGTGTTCTCACCCCGCGTCCCTCACGGCGCGTGCGGTACCCCATGGGCGGGCCAGCCCAGCACAGGTACGAGGCTTCGGTGACGGGGCCCCCACGGCCCCGATCAGGGGCGTGGGTCCCTCCGGCCTCAACCGAATCCTAGCATTACTCTCATGTACAGGACAGCGACGGGGCCATGCCCGCAGCATGCTCTGCCTGGCGAGCCCCCCTTCGTGGCACCCCCCTCACCCACCCACCCAACCCCACCTGCCCCATGCAGCGGGTGTCCAGCGCCGGCCCGGCCTACACCGGCCTGTCCCGGCACACCCTGGGCTGCCCCAGCACCCCCACCCTCCAGTCCCGCGCCGCGGTCCAGACCCGCAGCTCCTCCTCCGGCTCCACCACGCGCATGACCACCACCGCCCAGCGCAAGATCAAGGTGGCCATCAACGGTTTCGGCCGCATCGGCCGCCAGTTCCTGCGCTGCGTGGAGGGGCGTGAGGACTCGCTGCTGGAGATCGTGGCCGTGAACGACTCCGGTGGCGTGAAGCAGGCCAGCCACCTGCTCAAGTACGACTCCACCATGGGCACCTTCAACGCCGACATCAAGATCTCGGGCGAGGGCACCTTCTCCGTCAACGGCCGCGACATCCGCGTCGTCTCCTCCCGCGACCCCCTGGCCCTGCCCTGGGGCGAGCTGGGCGTGGACCTGGTGATCGAGGGGACTGGAGTGTTTGTGGACCGCAAGGGCGCCAGCAAGCACCTGCAGGCGGGGGCCAAGAAGGTCATCATCACCGCGCCGGCCAAGGGCTCCGACGTGCCCACCTACGTCATGGGCGTGAACGCGGACCAGTACTCCAACTCCGACGACATCATCTCCAACGCCTCCTGCACCACCAACTGCCTGGCGCCCTTTGTCAAGGTGCTCAACGACCGCTTCGGCATCGTGAAGGGCACCATGACCACCACCCACTCCTACACTGGCGACCAGCGGCTGCTGGACGCCTCCCACCGCGATCTGCGCCGCGCACGCGCAGCAGCGCTGAACATCGTGCCCACCACCACCGGCGCGGCCAAGGCCGTGGCCCTGGTGCTGCCGCAGCTCAAGGGCAAGCTGAACGGCGTGGCCCTGCGTGTGCCCACGCCCACGGTGTCTGTCGTGGACCTCGTCATCCAGGTGTGCCTTTGTTTATTTTTTTGGGGGGAGGGGGCCTGGGAAAGCTGGGGGGCGATTGGGCGGGCCCTGGGGGGGAATAACAAGTTTGGGGGAAGGGGAAAGTGCTTGTGTGGATTTGATGACTTGGAGCTTTCGCACGGTGTGCTGGTCTGTGGGCAGTGGTCTGATGGTCTTTACCTCTGCCAGAAGCTGGTGGGGTTGTTACCCTAAGAGTATGGATCCCGCCGTCCTGGCCTACACACCCATGCCTCCTCCCCCACCCCAATCCCCAAAAAGCAACCTTTCCAATTCGCCACCACAGACGGAGAAGAAGACGTTCACCGAGGAGGTCAACTCCGCCTTCCGGGAGGCCTCCGAGGGCTACCTGAAGGGCATCCTGGCGGTGTCCGACGAGCCCCTGGTGTCCTGCGACTACCGCATGACCGACGTCAGCAGCACCATCGACGCCGCGCTGACCATGGTCATGGGCGACGACATGGTCAAGGTCATCGCCTGGTACGACAACGAGTGGGGCTACAGCCAGCGCGTGGTGGACCTGGCGGAACTGGTCGCCCAGAAGTGGGAGTGAGCTGGAGGGGCGGGGGAGATGCTTCTGTCGGGCACCTGGACTCGCTCCATGTCCCTCGGGGCCCCTGCCCCGGTCTGGTGCGCCCATCCATTCTTTTTGTCCGCGAGAAGATCAGACATTCGTTGCCGTACCCCTGCTGGATGTCGCGTGGCATCTCACCCTGCTGTATGTAAGGTCAAAGCACAGCGCGCAAAGGGATGGCAACTGTGTCGATGGTGTTTGACAAGGGTTGTGCAGGATGGGGGTGGGGACATAGGTTGAGCAGGGACCGGCGTGCTGCGGAGCGTGACTCCATGACCTACATCCAAGCTTATCAAACAGCACCCAGTCGTGAGGCCAGCTCACACCCCTACCACACACCCTTTTGAACACCAAGGGGTGAGAGCGCCTCCTCGACTCCAGGGGCACATCTTACACAATTGAATCATCACTGTCCTATCACTGGGGAGCCAGCCGGCCGGGCTGCGTCAGCCCTCATCTCGTATGCATCACGACGGGCATCAACACAGAGAGCAGCAACGACGGCTTGCAGGGCACGCCTCCACACATCAGCGTTCGCAGAGCATGCCCCCTTTCCCCCGTCCAATTTCATGGTCTCAGTCCTTGTAGCGCATGTCTGCCTTCTCAAAGCCGATGGTGGGGAACTGGGTGGCAAACGCCTCCACCTCCTCCTTCAGCTCCTGGATCTGGGGTGGCACCTGCTCAGTGATAGGGCCGGGGGGGGGGAGGGGGTCATGCATGCTCTGGGCTGGGGACAGGTTCTGAGGAACACACAGCCATGCCGTCACCATTCCCCTCTCCCATCCCAGGCCTCACATCGGTGGCCAGGGCATCACGGAAATCCTTCAGCTTGGGGCCGTGCTTGCCCTTGAGCTCCTTGGCAATGTCGACTCCCCTGGTTGGGTGCAAGAGTGGGAGAAGGGGTGGGTGGGAGGGCACGACATGAACGTGCAGCAGCGAGCTGGCTCATGTCGAGATGCGTCAGGAGCGCCTCGCTCCTGGAACTCCATCAGGTGTGAGTGTGTAACACAGACAGCTGCATGCCAGGTCACTCATGTGCACTCCAGCCCTGATTGCTGCACGCAACATCCGCTGCCTCATGTGGACATCTCTGCCTTCATACTTCTCATCCCTTTCTCCCCCTCCAACCTCCCCCCTCTTCTCCTCCGCCCC